AATCCCAGCACTTTGGAAGGCCGAGGCAGGCGGATCATGAGGTCAGGAGTTTGAGACCAGCCTGACCAACATGGTGAAACTCTGTATTTACTAAAAATACAAAAATGAGCTGGGCTTGGTGGCACATGCCTGTAATCCCAGCTACTCAGGAGGCTGAGACAGGAGAATCCCTTGAACCCAAGAGGTGGAGGTTGTAGTGAGCTGAGATCACGCCACTGCACTCCAGCCTGGGTGACAGAGCGAGACTCCGTCTCAAAAAAAAAAAAAAAAGAAATAGGTAACAGAAGAAAAAAAAAACGGAAGCTTTTCAGTCCCCCTTGGCTCTTATTCCTGCTAGAAATAATGTGACTATGTAATAATAAATTCTGCTTAAGGGTTGTATTAGTCCGTTTTCACACTGCTATAAGGAACTGCCCGAATCTGGGTAATTTATAAAGAAAAGAGGTTTAATTGACTCACAGTTCAGCATGGCTGCAAAGGCCGCAGGAAACTTACAATCATGGCAGAAGGGGAAGTCAGACGCCTTCCTCACAAGGCGGTAGAAAGAAGAATGACAGAAGGAGGAACTTGCCAAACACTTAGAAACCATCAGATCTCGTGAGAATTCACTCACTATCACGAGAACAGCATCCGGGAAACCGCACCATGATTCAATTACCTCCACCTGGTCTCTCCCTTGACACGAGGGGATTATGGGGCTTACAATTCAAGATGAGATTTTGGGTGGGGGCACAGCCAAACCATACCAAGGGTTTTTTGTTGTTTCTTCAGTAGTAGGGCCAAAATGTTTTTTAAAGTTAAGCATGATTCTTACAAGAATATAGAATGAAAACCTGAAAAATGTTTAACTCATTAATAGAGAACCGCCAGCGTGGTAAAAGAGCATTAGCATAACTGAATACTTATGGCCCATGAGGAAAGAATTTGAGAATAAAGTTGCTAGGTTAAATACAAAACTGGTTAAAGTTCTTCAGGGCAATACAGCCAAAACCTTCGGGGTTATCTTTTCTACCAGAGTTCATTTGCATCTCCTCTGGACAAAAATCTGCAAGTTATATGCAACCTCCCAGAGTCTGGACCCTAATCAAGAGTAAATAGAAAATCAAAGAAAGGCACACACACGGTCCGCCGAGAGAATTAAACAGTCGTTGACTGGGTCTGCTGGTATGATATTGAAATGACATGCAAATCCTTTTGCCTTATTTCTAAGTATTGGATGCTTTTTTTGACGTAAGATAAAATTTACATATTGGCAGCTGTAGCAATCTAGTTTCCAAATGGAGTTTGCTCTTAAAATTAATCTGCTTTTCACCATATTTTGTGTCTGTTTTTAATAAGAAAAATGACCACCAAGCAATGTGGGCATTGCAATAACATTCCATTATTTAAAAACGTACTTCAACATTATTTTGATTCTCACTTTGCTGGGTACTAAAACATTTTATGAGCAATTTAAATTTTGTATCAGTACCAAAAAAAAAAAAATAGTCCACATATCTGCTGTGAGTTGATGCCAGCAGCAAAAACATTGATACCCAAGGCAGTTTCAAATATTTATAGGGATTTTGGACATAACCTTGCACAAGTTACTGAATTTCTTAGCTTCATCCTCTATGCAAAATAAGACCTTCACTAAACTGCTGTATTTATAATTTTGTGATGACACATATAAACCTGGAATCACACTGCTGTGTTCCTATTTTACTTTTATTTCCACATTCATAATTTCAGTTTCAGGGCTTCCTTACAGGTTGCTTGCTTTATAATTTGTCTTGCTACGTGATGTGTTCTTTTACCTTGTGATTTTAAAAAGGATAAACTATGTGTTTTAATTGTATCAATTGCTTTGTTTTTCCAAAAACAGAAATTATACTTATCCTTCTTTCCTTTCTGTAGAGTGAAATGGTGTCCTTTGAAGTCCCCTAACATTAGATATGAAATTTAACAAATCTCTCTCTCCTTCTCTTACCAACTGCCATTTTAAATTATGGGCATTCTGTTCTCACAATTTACTGTCACTTTTAAAAAATACAGAAAACACCAAAATGTGAACTTATATAGAAATTGTTAAAATTACACACCTAGCTTAAATAGCAAATATTCAGTCAACTTTTCACTGTGCTCTTGAAAAGCTATTCCACGTTTGTCAACAATTTGTTTAGCATAGCAATATGTTAACCTAAACACACTAAATTCAGCATCCATTTCAGGCAGAGATGAGGTGTCTGATTTACTCAACACGTTTCTAGTTAGAGAACATCACATGAGACAAAGTGGAATCGTGCCACATATTTGGATGAAGCCAGAAGCAGCACCTTTTAGGATTCTTAGATCTGTTTTGTGCATGAGCTGTTTTTGAAGCACTCTCATGTTTAGTCATTAATTTGCATAAAATTTTTTCTGTGTTGTAACTTTAAGTGCAGTTTGCATTCAAGACCAGGATACCCAAAAACCTTGACAAAATGGTGCCGAAACTCTGTATTTACCTTCAAACCACTGAACTGTATACTTTAAATGGGTGAACTACATGATATGTGAATTATTCTCAATAAAACAAAAAACTAGCATAGTAAACATTTATGCTCAGCCTAGGCAATGTGGTGAAACCCCATCTCTACAAAATATACAAAAATTAGCTGGGCATGATGGTGCATGCCTGTAGTCCAAGCTACTTAGGAGGCTGAGGTGGGAGGATCACCTGAGCCCAGGGAGGTCAAGCCTGCAGTGAGCTGTCATCAAGCCACTGCAATCCAGCCTGGGCAATAGAGTGAGACCCTGTCTCAAAAAAGAAAAAAAAAAAAATCATGCTATTACGGTTTATATAGGAACTGTTTACTTTCAAGTTAAATTTTTAAGGGGGCTAGACTTGGCAGAAAGGGAGACATTGAGACACGATTCAGCGTAAATGCTGAGTGGTAGGTGGGGTTGAAATATATCAGGCCCACCGAGAAAGATTTAAGACCTGCAAAATGGCAGGGAGCCAAGACTACATTTAGGATTGAGAGGGTAGAGAAGCCAGTGAAAACAGAAAACCAAAAAAGAGCAAAAGAGCAAGTAGATAGTGACTAAAGACTGACTTGGGTATTTGCTTTGCTATCATAAAGTAAAGGGTTTTATTCAGTTCCAAATTTCAGAAAAAAAATAGCTCCACACTTTCCAACTACTGTTAGGAGTAATATTCTAAACTCAAAAGTAACTTAAATCCATTTTATCCTATCTTACCTCACTTTGTGAAAGAGAAACCTTAAACCACAATTCTTTTGTTTTTACAAAGGAAAAAAATGGAAAACATACTTTTCTACTAGAAAAAGGAAATGACAAATACTGAAATGTGGGAAATATGAATGGTAATGAATGTCTTTTAAGGTAAATATCCAGGGTATTATTTGGTCAGTCAGAAACTTAGAATCTGAATAATGCCTAAAGTTTCAATGCTAAACAAGGTAAATGAATTATTCTTTATTTCCAGTAACAAGACAAGAGAAAATGAATGCCTGGGTCTCCAATCAGCAAGTGCTGATTCTAAACTTCAGTGACTGTTTTTTTTTTTTCTGATAAAGGATGAAGAAATTTTGAATAAAATCGAACATGAAAATTTTAAACAATTTTTCCTTTTCATATTCCATCTGATCCTAGTCAAGAGTAAAGAGAGTATGAGTCAAGAGAAAATAAAATTAAACATTAAGCATTTGCTTCTCTGGGTGGAATGGCTTAAAGCTTTCCCTCCCAAGGTCTAGGGAACTTTTTAAAGAGTTTTCCTAAGAGGGATTTTTCTACATTTTCATGCAATTTTAGAACTTTTTTTAGATTTCCAATATAAGATAAACCATTTTGGAAAGTGTGAATAATTCCAGAAACACACTTTATTTCTAGGCCATGAAACTTAATTTCCTCTTAATATTCACTTACCTACAGCCCAAATTCTCCATGTATTTTGCCAGATATTGCTTATGAGCTACAAACAGGGCAATTACTTTTTCTGCCTCATGAGATTACTCATACACATACAAAAAATATTTTAAGGCTGCTGCTGATTACATCTGAGGCCACAGAAGTTACTCTGCGCCTTCCTCTGGAGACACGAAGCAAAGACACTTTCCTTTCTCCTGATTAGGGTAATTTCCACTACAGAACAGCTTTTCCATAGCAGTAATAAACTAGTTTGGGAGATCTGAGATGCAGGGTCTAAATCTCTGGAAGCCAAACAATAAAGAACAAAAAATATAGATAGCATATGGCTGCCTTTAGTTTGTTTTCCCTTCAAGTTCTTCCCGGTGTTTGATAGCCTCATAAGGGCCTAATTGTTGGCAGCACCCAAATAAAAGAGATTTTTTTTAAGCTTTATATTTAGTAAGTGCTTTTTGTCATTTCCTCACTTTTTTATACATTCCTACCTGATCACCAAATTATTATGATTTGAACAGTGCTTGGCTTATAGTATTCAGTAAATGTTGATAACAATTGCCATTATCCAGAGACAGAAAACTATGTTCAATATTTAAATCTTAACCCATTTTATCAATGATTACTTGAGAAAATCAAGTGTAATTCAAGCTGAACTCTTTCAAATTGTTCTCTGGTAGGACATGTTTATTTTTAACCCTAAATATTATGTCCCTCTAGCCTAGCTATATAAAACAGCCTTACTCTCAAAGCCAATGTTAGGGGGAGAAAATGGACAGGTAACTAGATTAAAAGAACTGAGAGAGACATTAAAAAAAAAAAATGCAATGAAACCTGATTGACTCTAGATCCAAATAAAAATCTACACACTTTGGAACATGGGCTAGATATGGCTGACATTACAGAATTATTCATTTTATTAGGTATTATAATGGTGTTGTGGTTATAAAGGAGGATGTCTTCAATCTTAGAAAATGTAGGCTGAAATATTTAGGGGCAAAGTACTGTGACCTCGGCACCTTATTTTCAAATGGTTCAGCAAAAAGTTATATATTTAAATAGAAAAAGCAAATATGGCACAATATTAACAACTCATGAATTTAACTGAAGAGTTTATTTTATTATACTTTCAACTTTTCTGTAGATGTAACATTTTTAAAATAGTTGAGAATAAAAAAATCACAAAAATAGTTTTACTGAGGAAAACACCACACATTCCTTTTTACTGTAATATTTAATATAATAATATACACTTATACATTGGTATTATTTACACTTCATAAAAAAATCCATTCAACCTGAAATTACCTTAAACACACTATTTAACTTTCAGTGCTAATGTATTAATTTCTTAAATATAAATCAAAATAGCTCAATATCTATTTTAAATTACTGATAACTAGATGCAGATGTAAGGATCATGAATCAATACTTCCATTAAGTTAAAAATCTCAATAATTTTTTTCAACATTTCTTCTTTGTTTTTCTTCTTTGTCTAGAATAGTCTGTTTTAAGCTCAAAGTAGCATCTTGAAATCCAGGATTTAAGTCTAAGACCTTCTTGAAATCTTCCAAAGCATCATCAAAATATCCTGTACCAGAACCCAAAAAATGGAAAAGAGAAAAGAAACTGAGTATTTCTATGTATTATTCATGGCAAAGCTTTGATACACGTACTTTTGTTTTTATATTTATGAGCTTTCAGTCACTTCTAGTAAAGGAACTTTTTTATCTTAATAATATAGAGATGTGTATATCAAAGTAATTTTGTGTGCCCTTAGGGAATAATACACCTAAAATTAGTTATGGGTTTATTTATTGAGATTTAACAGGTAAATATTATCAATCATCTTAAAATTTTAACAAAACTGTATCGCCTGTTTTACATAACTGCAGTAAAATTAAGAAACAGGAAACTAATTTTCTTTTTGACACTTTAAATGAGAAACAGTACCTATGGTCCCTTTAATCCAAGAATCTAAACTTCACTTTCTATTGTCTTGTGTGTCTTCAAAGATTTTAACTCAGAAAAGTTTCACAGGCGATCAACTGAATTGCCTTCATTTCACAGCTGGGAATGCACAAGCACAAAGTAATGGGGTCACCCTGGCTCCTGCGCCCAGGTCCAATTCCCACCCCAGTGCTCTGCTGTGATCTATAACGCCTATCAAAAGCCTAAAATAAACTCAGGGACGCTTCCTTTGTTCCAAGCTCTAAACCTAAATTTCACAGAACTTTAAAATTTGATTACTACGTTAGTTTTACAATATTTGAGACCTCTGAAGTAACAGAATACAGTCAATGACAAAACCCAAAAAGAAAAAAAATTCTTACCCAACCTATACAGTATCAACCCTCTGTTGTAATATGGAACTTCAAAATTGGGTTGGACTTCTATGGCAGATGTGTAGTCATCCATGGCTTCATAAAAATCAACCCTGAAGTACTTGATTTGCCCCCTGTTGTTATATGCAGTAGCCAAATCCTCAGGGCTGCATTTGCTTTAAACAAAAAGTTCACATTAAAAACACTGTGTTACCAAATTTCTCTCATTTCCACTTTCATTCTCTTTTGGGTATTGTCAAACTTCACAGCCTTATAACATGCAGCATCAACACTGAAAATCCAAGCTGAAGAAAAACCATACAAATAAAGAGCTAAAAGCAATTTCTGTGTAACCCTGTTATCTACTTTTGTAGGGTTATACCACTACAATGTCAACCTGAAAAGCATACTAACTTTCTAGTGTGTTCACTACCAACTTGTCCTGCTGAATATAACATTAAAATGATTTTTCATTTTTCTAAGCACACACCAGCAGGGCAAAGAAGACAGATCAGTTAAATGCTAAGCAATGAGGGAAAAGCCCAAGTATGCTACGGACATGTCACAATGTGAATCAACTTCATTCTCAAATTTTTAAGTGATCTTAAAACAATGAGATTTGAAATCATTTTCCACCAATAAAGAACTAAAGTTAACGCTAGGTGAAAATTCAACATGCTATGATCCCCAGGAAGTTATCTCTGGGGACAGAGTTGCCCTCCCTCCAGCCTCAGCTGGCATCCTCCCCAATGCCAGGCTGGCTTCCTGCTAGGAGGGTGGGCTCCTTTAGCCCCTTCAGGGCTTCAGTCAGTTTGGATGTCCTTTGTGCGGAACTGGCTCTGCACCTGAGGGCACTAGAGGTTGCCCAAAGAGCTTTAAATTAGCAGCCTTTCCTGGGCTGGACACCCAGGTAGCTCTGACCAGCCGCCAGCTCAACAGGTCACAGCCCCTGGCCGCCCTGAACCTTTCTATGCACAGGACAAATAGTCTGCACAGAGAGCATTAGTGGCTCTGCTCTGAGTCAGGGATAATTCTGTTTCCCTTTCTTTTTTCCCAAAGCAATTCTCAAATTAGAACCAAACACAGAACTCATCTGTCACTTCTTTGTAATACCCCGTAGTAAAAAGTATAGTCCTCCAAAAATATCTGTGAATGCAGTTAGTGTAAGTAAAAGGTACTTCTCTTGAGTAGTGTCTTGAGATTTCAGACAGGCACTGTAACTACTGTTACCCTAAGAGGCACTCACAGCCCAAGGGCCTCCTTCAGCCCAGTTTGCTAACGATGGAGAGGAACTGTTGCAATTTTAGAAACTGTCTATTCTATGAGCTGTGATAGAGACTGGGTGTAAGGATACTTCTGAATGCCACTAAGCACCCCTGTTAAAACCTAGATTACAAGAGGGCACCACTCCCCTTCACCTATGTCTGACATGACACTAGTTGAACTGCTCCCAGTAGAGAGTTTGAAGAAAAACGCAATCTCAGGATGCCAGTAAGGTTTTAGTCATTAAATCGAAGTTTCAGAATTATTGTTATAAGTTTTTAATACTAATTATATATTCGTAATATATTCAGAGAATCATAAAATGTTAGATTTAGAATTAGATCTTATTAAATCAACTTCTAAAAGGCTTTTTCATGTGGAAATTTTGTTTCATATTTTAAAGAAATGGACCAACAGTTGAAGCTGAAATATTTTGTAATATTAAAATTTTTGTAATGATAGCATTTATTATAATGGAATTCATTTAAGTTACCTAGCCCAAATGTGAATTTTTAGGATTTGCTAACTTTCGCAAAACAAATAGTATTTTGGAAATTAGGTTTATGACTAAAGCTATACTTTAGATATTAAAAGAAAACATCACAAACTGTTCAAAACGCAAGGCATTCAAAAATTGCAAATATTGTTTCAAAATGATTCAGTGACCCAATACTTAAAAAATAAATGTAAGCTCCAGAATATAAATCGAAGGGAAAAAGTTGAAATGACAGAATTCAGTTTCAATCCATGAGTTCCTAGAATTTTACCAAAGCTTATTTTACAGATGAAAAACAGGCTGAGACATTAGCCATGTGGCAGTGCCAAGACTGGAATTCAAATCCCTTCGACTGGGCTATGACAAACTGTCTTTCCTGTGCTGGTAAGGCATAGCTATTACATTTGCTACAGACACTTGTGTTCTTAGGCTGAGATGTGCAAAGAAGGAAGAATAACAAGACTAGACAGCATCAGTATACCTGGTGCTTATGAATACTTTCTTAAATCTACTAGATAAGTCTATTCTTAGAGCTCGAAACATGAATAGTTTAGCTTTCTAAAGGTGCATTGAGGAAAGTAGATGGTATCATCTTATTATCTGTTCAGAAACGTCTATTACTATTCTCGTGTGTTATTGAAATGAGAAGGTAATTTTATCTTTCCGGTTTAATTTCATACAAGTGTAACAAACAGGATAAGAATCAAGTCCTCAGTGAAGCCTCATACAAAAGACAAGCTGGCATCCTGTCTAGAAAACTCAACTCCACAACAGACAACTCACAACTGTTCAAAAAGCTGTTCAATCAACCCCTCTGTTCTTTTCTCATCCTGGTCCACTCCGTACCATCAACAAGCCCCATCAAGCAAGACTTGGAGTATAAACAAATGTTACACATCCAGGCACAAGCCGAAAAGATGCTTTGGGTAAGCAGATAGTAGCAGGTGAAGCTGCTAACATCACAAAAAGAAAGCTAGCCAATCATTATGTGCTTCCTGGTGAAAGTATACACGTGTACCCACCTAAAAAGCAGTCTTGCCATGATAACTGAATCTGAATTCAACTGGATCAAACCTCAAGGTTTAACTACCAATTCACAGCAGTATGAGACAGATGACCACATTAAATGACAGAAGAGATTCAGTCAGCAAGTCCAAAACGCGGAAATTCAAAGGACACAAGAATCGGTTTCCTTAACAAAGGAAAAACTGTGTTGGGAAGAGAAGGTGGAGAGACTTAAAAAGACTTGATGTGTATCCTGACTTGAACCAACTGCGAAAAGCGAACCAAAGAACAAAACACCTTATTAGTCGATCAGAAAGGTTCCAACACTGACTACTTGATATTAAGTAACTATTCGATGATATGGAAGTTCCTTCTGAAACACCCATGGATGAATACGATGGGCAAACTAATAATGCTTAAGCCAAGCGATAAACACCTAGACGTTCGTTATGCTCTTTTCTACATAAACGTTTTTCACACCACCACCAAAAAGCCAGCGCTGTGACACTGAGGTGGGAGTCGCGGTACCGTGGCCCTACGCAGCCGTGACCCCTTCCCTTCCCAGGTCGCGGATTTCCCGCCAGCTAAAATCACAAGTGGAAAATCCCTATCTGTCCTAAGTCTTTGGGTGGGAATGAGGAACGTGGAAAGAGAGACTGCGGGGTGAAAAGCGGCGGCCCGCGTCCGAGGAGCCCTCATGGAGTTCGGTTCCCGGAAGCTCCCCGCACCGTCGCGGCAGACGGCTCTTCGCGGGTGGGCTCCCTCCCCGCGTTCTCCGCCGCCCTCATCCTAGGCCTCACCTAGGCCTTTCTAGAAAGACGAACGTCGGCCCGCTCAGTCCTAGTGCTGGGTTACGACACGCGCCGCCCGTGAGCTCCAGCAGCCAAAACACGAGCCCAGAGAGCCGCAACGTCGCCCCCACCCGGGGTCGCTGCGGCCCCAGGTCTCGCGATAGTTACCTCCCGGGACTCTCGCCGCTGGAGGCCGCGCAGGCGCACTGGCGAATGTAAGCGGAGTACAGCGTCTCGGCCTCCGCGTACTCGCCCTTGTTGAAATGAGCCTGGGCGAGTGTTAGGGTTGCGTGGCTTTTTTCCCCCTGCTGTCCTTCCATAGTAGCCAAGGCCTAGTTTTCGGTGTAGAATGGGTGTTGACCTCTGAGCGGCCAAAGGTGGCACCACAAAGCCACTTCCGCACCCTGGACTCTACCTTGACAGCCAATCTTGGCGCTAGGTTTGTGACTTCTGGGGACCCGTCGTCTCGCGAGATAACTGTTCGCTGCAGGGAGGGCGTTTGCAGTGAGCCCTGTGAAGTATGTTGTTACTGTGAAGTATGTTGGACCCGCCTTCCTCGTTTGTTAGAAGAGGCGCAGATGCGTGGTCTCAAACTGATTTCCAAGTCCCTTGTCTGATGCTGCGAGACACTATCCGTTTGTTAACAGTGGATTGGGGGCCGATGACGCTGGAGGTGGGAGAAGCCACGGTTCTGTTTCTTAATGGCGAATTAGCCTCCGGGCTTCCTGTCGCTCCCTTGCCTTTCAGCGTCCCCTACTTAGCAAAACTCCGCGTTTAGGGTGTTCTCAGTAGGCTTTGTCTACCCTGAAACGCTTTGGGTCGACATTCCACCAGGTCTGTTCCGCGGTCCAAACTTCTCTACCTTTTTTGATTCTCTAGAACTGTGTTACGATTAGTAGTATATTGTGTCGAGAGTCTGGAATCTTTGATGTTAGTTATATTCCCTGTTTATGGCAAAGGGAAATCTAAAAAGTAATTTATTAGTTACATTACGTTTAATTCAAATTAAAATTATGTAAGAACAGTTGCCACCCACGCTACCCTACATGCCTGCTGTGTATCTTTTCGGGGTCTGTCAATTCTGTTTTGCTTCCCAAAGTACTTGAGCCCTTTCCGTCAGAAAAAGTAAAGATGAAAAATATATTTGGAGCATGATACTTGCATGCAGAAGTCTTAACAGGACATAAATTGTGTGCTTTTTGGCTGCTTTCATTAGATTTTTAATTTTTTCCATTTACCACCACTGAAAAAATACAAATACAGTGGATTAATGTTAAATTAAATAAACACTGATAGAAATTGAAAGATTGGAAAACTACAAAAAATAAACTGGTATTTCTGGTGTAAGCAAATGGACAGCTCAATAGAACAAAAGCCCAGAAACATGCCCCAAATAGGCTGTATTTTGTAAAAGACATGTAACATATATGGAGAAAAGGACAGATTATTCAAATGAGTGCTATTGGGAGGATTAGTTAACCATTTGGGGTAAAATACATTTAAGCATTTAAGCTCCCAGTTGACATAATATTCATTCCAGGTGATTTAAGAGATTAAATAAATAAAATTTTTTTTAAGAAAATTTTTTTCAGTTCCCATTTATTTTTGCTTCTTGGGGCAGTGTCATCTTTTCAATATAAAAAAAAACACGAAACAGAAATCTGAAGTATAGGATAGAAGAAAACCAAGTGTGTGTGGGGGGGGAAGCAACAGCAAAAGGAAGATGAAATGTTGCAAAAAAAAAAAAAAAAAATGGAGGGGTAGTTCCCCTCTCCTCTGGGGAATGACTCAAACACTGATGTGGCAGTATACACTATTCTACATAAAGCCAGAGATGTTATTTCTTTTGGGAGATAAGAAAAGGTGGAGATGGCCGGGCGCTGTGACTTATGCCTGTAATCGCAGCACTTTGGGAGGCCGAGGCGGGCGGATCACCTGAGGTCCGGAGTTCGAGAACAGCCCGGCCAACATGGCAAAACCCCGTCTCTACTAAAAATGCAAAAAATTAGCCGGGCATAGTGGCAGGTGCCTGTAATCACAGCCTACTCCGCAGTCTGAGGCATGAGAATCCCTTGAACTTGGGTGGAAGTGGTTGGCAGTGAGCCAATTTTTGTATTTTTTGTAGGGATGAGTTTCCCCATGTTGTCCAAGCTAATCTCCAACTCCTGGGTTCAAGACATCTGCCCACCTCAGCCTCCCAAAGTGCTAGGACTACAGGCATGAGCCCCTGCACCTGAGTAGAAGTTATGCTTTGTTCTGTTCAAGGAACAACAGGGATATTTATGTGTCTAAAAACCAGTGATCTAAGAGGAAAATAGCAGTATATGTAATGAAAATTGGGGGTTTGGGAAGGGGGGTTCTAAATAGGAGTAAAAATCTTAACCTTTTTTGTGCTATGGCACCTTTGCAAGTGTGGTGAAGCCTATGTCGTTTCAGTGTTTTCAAGTGTTTTAAAACAGGATTACAAAGGAAAGCAATTATATTAAAAAAACAGTTGGAATATTAACAGATTTATAAAAAAGTAAAACATGTTAACATTAAATATCAAGAACCAATGGCAAACACAAAGCTAGCAGAGGAATAAAATAATACAAAATCAAAACAGATAAAACAGAAAAATGGAATCAACAAAACCAAAAGTTGGTTCTTAAAAAGATTAACAAAAATTAGTAAAATTTGGGCTAAATTGATTAAGAAAAAAAAGACTCAGATTACTGAAATCAGAAATGAAAATGGGAACATTACCATCAATTCTACAGAAATAAAGAGGATTATAAGAGAGTACTATGAACAATTGTGTGCCAAAAAATGGGACAAACTAGATGAACAAATGCCTAGAAACAAAAAACCTACCAAGATTGTATCATGAAGAAATAGAAAATATGAATAGACCTGTGTAGTATTCTGTTCCACGCTGCTAGTAAAGATATACCCAAGACTGGGTTTTTTGTTTTTTTAAGAAAAAAGAGGTTTAATGGACTCACAGTTCTACGTGGCTGGGGAAGCCTCACAATCATGGCACAAAGCAAACGGCATGTCTTACATGGCGGCAGACAAGAGAAAATGAAAGAACAGTGAAGGGAGAAATCCCTTATAACACCATCAGATTTTGTGAGACTTATTCACCATCACGAGAACAGTATGGGGGAAACTGCCCCCATGATTCAATTATCTCCCACCAGCTCCCTCCCACAACATGTGGGAATTATGGGAGCTACTGTTCAAGATGAGATTTGGGTGAGGACACAGACAAACCATATTAACCTGTAATTTGTAAGGAGATTCAATCAGTAATCTAAAAATAACCTCTTGACAAAGAAAAGCCCTGGACCTGGTGGCTGCACTGATGAATTCTACTAAATGTTTAAGGAAGAACCAACACGAGTCCTTCTTAAACTCTTCCAAAACACTGAAAAGGAAAGAAAACTCTAAATCACTCTATAAAGCGAGCACTGCTCTGACACCAAAGCCAAACACAGACACTAGAAGAAAACTGCAGATCAATATCATTTATGACTGATGCAAAAATCTTCAATAAAATACTAGCAAATTGAATTTAGTCGCATAATTAAAGGATTATACACCATGACCAAGTGGAATTTATTCCTAGAAATGCAAGGATAATTCAACACATGAAAATCAATCAATAGCAGTTGAGGAAAAAAAATCAATGTAATACAGCACAGTAACAGAATGGAGGGAAAAAACTTTATGATCACCTCCATTTAGGTAGAGAAAGCATTTGACAAAATTCAAAACCCTTTCATGACAAAAACACTCAAGCAGGGAATAGAAGGGGTCTGCCTCAACATAATAAAAGACGTGTATAAAACACAGTGAACATCATATTCAATGGTGAAAAACTGAAAGATTATCCTACAAAATCAGGAACAAGACAAGAAAGCTCACTTTCATACTCCTATTCAACACAGCACTGGAAGTTCTAGCCACAGTAATTAAGCGAGAAAATAATTTAAAAATAAGCCATCCACATTGGAAAGGAAGAGGTAAAATTATCTCTTCACAAATGATATGCTCTTACATATAGATAACACTAAATATTCTATTTAAAAATGGTTATAACTAATAAATGAATTCAGCAAGGTAGGAGGATATGAAAGTAGGAGGATATGAAATCAACATGCAAAAATCAATTGCATTTTTATTCACTAACAATGAAGCTATCCCAAAAGGGGAAATTAAGAAAATTCCAGCCAGGCACGGTGGCTCACACCTGTAATCCCAGCACTTTGGGAGGCCAAGATGGGTGGATCACTTGAGGTCAGAAGTTTTGAAACCAGCCTGGCCAACATGGCAAAACCCTGTATCTATGAAAAATACAAAAATTAATCACATGTGGTGGCAGGCACCTGTAATCCCAGTTACTCAAGGGGCTGAGGCAGGAGACTCGCTTGAACCTGGGAGGTGGAGGTTGCAGTGAGCCAAGACTGTGCCTCGCACCACTGCACTCCGGCCGGGGCAACAGAGCAAGACTCCCTCTCAAAAAAAGAAAGAAAAAAGAAAACAATTCCGTCTACAGTAACATCAAAAACAAAAAAAATATTTAGGAATTAACCAAGAAAGTAAAAGATTTGTACAATTAAAACTATAAAACATTGCTAAAAGAAATTAAAGAAGACATAAATGGAAAGACATCTCACGTTCATGGATTAGAAGACAATATTGTTTAGATGTTAATATTATATAAACCAATCTTCAGATTCTATGGAATCCTTATCAAAATCCCAATGATGTTTTTGCAGAAATAGAAAACTCCATCCTAAAATTCATATGGAATTACAAGGGCTCTCAAATAGCCAAAACAATTTTGGAAAAAGAACAAAGTTTAAGGACTCACTCCTGATTTCAAAACTTACTACAAAGCTACATTACCCAAAACAAGTGTGTTATTGGCATAAAGACAGTTTTTTAAACAAATGGTGCTAGGAAAATTGGATATCCACTGCAAAATAATAAGTTGGACTGTTACAACACATACAAAAATTAAATCAAAATGGATCATGACCTAAATGTAAGAATTAAATTACGAACTCTTAGGAAAAAACATATGGCAAAAACTTAGCAACACTGAATTAGGCAATGATTTTGTGAATATGACATCAGTGGCACAGGCAACAAAAGAAAAAACTAGACAAATTGGGCTTGATGAGAATTTTAAAACTTTTGTGCATAAAAGACACCGTCAGAGTAAAAAAGCAACCCATGGAATAAAACAAAATATTTACAAGTCATATATCTGATAAGGGATTAATACCCAGAATATACAAAGAACTTCCAAAAACAACAACAACAAAGCAAAACAACCCAATGTAGAAATGGGCAAAGGATTTGAATAGACTTTTCTCTAAAGAAGATACACATATGGCCAATAAGAACATGAAAAAATGCTCAATGTCACTAATAATTAGGAAAATGCAAATCGAAGCTACAATCAAATACCACTTCTCACCATTCCAGTAGGATGGAAACTATTAAGAAGAAATAAGTATTGGTGAGGATGTGAAGAAACTGGAATCTTTGTGCACTATTGGTGAGAATGTAAAATGGTGCAATCACATGGTATGACACTTCTTCAAATACTAAGAATAAAATTACTATTTGATTCAGCAATTCCACTTCTAAGTATATACCCAAAATATCTGACAGCATGGTCTTAAAGAGATATTTACACATCCAGGTTCATAGCGGTATTGTTTGCACTAGGTAAAAGGTGGAAGCAATCCAGGTGTCTATCAACAGATGAGTGGATAAGCGAAATGTGGTATACTCATACAATGGAATACTATTCAGTCTTTAAAAGAACAGAAATTCTGCCACATGCTACAACATGGATGAACCTTGAGGACATTACATGAAGTGAATTAAGCCAACCACAAAAAGACTGAATGATTCCGTTTTTATGAGGTACCTAGAGTAGTCAAATTCATAAAGACAGAAAGTAGAATGTGGTTGCCAGGGACAGCTTTAAGGGGGACAGGGAGTTATTGTTCAATGAGCATACAGTTTCAGTTTTGCAAGATAAAGAATTCTGAGATGGATGGATGGATGGTGGTGGTGGTGGTGGTAGTGGTGAAATATGTACAATATGAATGTACTTAATAAATATAGTTAATTCCACTTTAACTGTACACTTAAAATGATTAATATAGGCAAGGTGCAAGAGTTCATGCCTGTAATCCCAGCACTTTGGGAAGCTGAGGTGGGAGGATTACTGTGCTCAGGAGTTTGAGGCTGCAGTGAGCTATGATTGTGCCACTGCACTCCAGCCTGGGCGACAGAGCTAGACCATGTCTTGTAAAATATTAAATTTTAAAAAAATTAAAAATGGTTAAGATAGTAAATTTTATGCTATGTGTATTTCATCACATAAAAAATAGGGAAAAATCAAGTGGCAAGTGTGTTTTCTATAAGAGATCATCACAACATTGCATTGAAGTCATTATTACTGTATTTCTATTAATTGATTTTGTTGCATCCACTGCAGTTTCTGCTTTATAAAGGTGGTTGCTATGAGCATAGATATTAGGTGTTATGTCTACAGATACTCTTACATGTTACATTGTTATTGTGAATAGCAGTTTTTCGCATTATCAAGTATTCTTGCTTGTAGTACTTAACTCACCACATCAACAAATTGAAGAAAAATCTCAACAGATGTAGAAAATTCAGTTAATAAAATTCAACTCCCTAGCAAACTAGGACAAGAAGACATACTTATTAAAACCTACCGACAAAATGTCTACAGAAGATATAATAAGCAATGATTTCTTAAAATATTGAAAAATGTCCTTTGAGATTAAGAATAAGACAAGGATGCCCAGTATCATCACTTTAATTATTCAGCATTGTTTTGGGTATCCTAGCCAATGCAATAAGATGATAAAAAGAAATAACAGATATGACAATTGAGAAGTATTTTTTTAAAAAAAGCAGTCATTAAGCACGGTTATATGGTTGTATATGTAAAAAAGAAGTGCAAAGGACTGAGAGTGACAAAACATTTTTGAAGAAGAAAAACAAAGTAGGACTTGTACCAGATAGCAGGACCTATTTTAAAAACTATAATAACTGAGACATTCTGCTTTGGGCCAAAGAAAGACAAACAGATCAATGGAACAGAAGAAGAAACCAGAAATTGGTACCTGCATATATGGACTTGTTTTTTTGTTTTGTTTTGTTTTTGGGTTTTGTTTTTTTTTCATATAATTGCACATCAGTGTGGAAAGGGTGGACTTCAATCAGCTGGAGGTATAATTTAATTTTTTTTAACTTTAGAGAAATATCTTAGGAGCTGATAGCTCTCATTATAAAGACATAATACAGCAATTTATTCAGTCTCTTGGGGTTTTTTCCCCCTTGTTTGGTAGCAAAAGTGGTACTGTATATCTATTGTACCTCCTGCTCCCTCTTCCCCTTCTCCACTCTGGAGCCCAATACCCTCCTAACCAACCCCCATCAGCATACTTAAATCAAGACAAAGCAAACACCATGTTCTCCATAAGTTATAAAGAAAACGTGGAATAAACACAAGTTATTTTTTCTTCAATGTTTATTATTTTCGCATTTTTTCACTTAATACTACATAAAATCTAAGATCTCAGCTCTTGGAATACAGAAAAATAATTTCAAAGTGTACTTTAGCAAAATAACTTATAATGAAATTAGCATTTGTGAATTAAGCATGTCAACATTACTGTGTTGCTTGTTAGGCACACTGCTTATTTGTACAGCTTCATCAGTCAGTTCCATCATTTCAATACTTTGGCCCACCACACCACTTTGAAACATGTAATTAAGGGCAAGTTTTATAATAAAAAAACAACTTGGCATTACTCAAAGGGAGTCAGTACATGTTTTTTGCAAGGAGAACAACATAACTGTTTAATGATGCTGTCTTCAGTATACTACCTAATTCTGTTTATGCAACTTCTCACCAGGTAATTGTTTTTTATGGTCAATTTTGCTTTTCTTTGTCCCCCTAGTCAAGGGAGAGTTTGTTAGTGTTGTTATCTTGAAATTGCCTTCATGTCGAATAAAACCAACTAGATCAATTCATAATATAGGTTTTTTCTCTAGTACTATTTACATACAAGACAAAGGTCCCCAAGACATTATGGCAGATCATTAAAACTTTAACAGATATAGATACCAAAGAGGCATAAGCTTTTACAAAAGTAAAAAAGATGTGTCTGTCTATATACATACGCGCACATACACACACATATACATATATGATAATTAGGTCCACAAGGTATGAGAGGTTGTTTTAAAAGATACTGGTTTCTGGATCCAACTGAATTAGAAATATCAACTACATATTGTTTAAATATCAACTAGATCCAGCAACTCAGAATCTACCTGGAGTAATTCATTGGTGGGAAAAATCTAGGGCTCAGGCAGCACAGAATTAGGGGGAAATGAGAAGGCTCCAAAAGAGAGTTTCCAAAGTTAGGTGAAGTCTGAGGAGTCAACAGGTGATCCTAGAATTAAAGCAAATGAAAGTGTAACCAACAAATCACAGTAAGGGGCCAGAGGCATGACAATCAAATGAATTCTCAGCTGATTCCTGAGATAGGAAAGGGAAGGAAGAAATACTCAAGCATTCAACCATGGACCAAGAATTGTAGCTCTGACCAAACTGTCCTGCAGGAACCTTTCAGACAGGCAAAGCTAGTAAGTGTGCCATCCCTACAACCCTGAACATTTCTCTTTCCTTGATGAAGTAGAGAATAGTCTCATCCCTAAAAATAGAAGTCCTGTGGAAAGATGTAAGTTCAACAGGAGATGTATTGTCTTAGACTTCTTTGTTAGAATGTGATTTTCTGATTTGGGGAAATTTTCCATTCTGGTATAGAAGAAAACAAATGAGAAAGCTGGAATTCATTGTGTTAAATTTAGATAAGTAAGTTAGTAACTTAGGAGACATATTAGACAAAAGTTAATAGAGCATGTATGTGTGACCACAGATAGAAAAGAGAAAGAGATATCAAATATTCATGAAGCATTAAAAATATGAAAAGCCACAAAGATATCAAATATTCATGACACACTAAGTATGCATGAGACATATAAAGCCCTCAATATGTGTGAGAAGTTGATTCAATTACCCACTGGTGACACTCATTCTGGCCTGTCCTTACCCAAGAAATACAATAAAATTCATGGCTGCTCAGCAGACTAATAGGCAAGCTATTACTGTGGTAAAAGTGTACTGGCCCCTGAGACCCTTCTAGAGAACAAGTGTACGTCGTTGGCCTCAGGCACATTTCATCTGATTGAGTTGTCTGGCTCAAACGGCCACTCTGGTCCTCCTTGTAACCCCACTATTAGGGGAAAGCTTATGTGACAGAGTGTGAGTCAGGACATAAAAACATTACATAACCTGTGATTCAGGTGTTGTGGTCTTTCCACCTCACTGGCACGCTACACTAACAGTGTTAATCTATCATTGCTTTCTCCTTGTTCCTCACTGTGTATTGCAAATTGGTTTAATAAACCAATGTATTTTGAGAATTTTTATTTGGTTTGTAAGGCTTTCTGTTCCTTGACCTCTGGGATAGCTTGCTAGGTAATGTATTTAGAGGCTACCATTGTACAAAGGTAATTTTCCACAAGGTACATGAATAGAGACAGAGACCTCAAAGACTTCTGGTCTCCTCTTTTTATTTGGGCCTATGAGCCCACAATCTATCCTAAGCTCATCTAGGCTCTAAATCTCTTCTCATAGCTCACTATTCCCAATCTGCAACATGCTGAACTTGCCTTGGTCTCTACAAGACAAAAACATCAGATTGAGAAAGTGTATTGTAGCTGCAATAACAAAGTTGCGTATCTCTATGTATTGCCTCTACTTGTCCGGAGCTGCACGCCCCGGCCATAGCGAATAATAATTGACGATTAAAAACGCCTGAGCTTTATTCATTTCCACCTTACACCTCCTCCCTATCTTTGCCTTTTCCCCTGTATTAATACCTCATAAAAGATGGCGCTCTTCCTGCTTCTTCTTCACCCATTTTTCCCGCGCCCGCGAAAATTGCTACCTGACAGCGCAGGCGCCACATGACGTTCGACCATGCTACCAATACCTACCTGGCCACACCCTCCACGATGAGATCATTTTCGCCTTGGCCCAACCCCTTCCCCTCCAAATGTATATAAGGCACTGCATTACCGCCATTAAGAGGGACTTGATCAGAGCACTGTCTTGTCTCCATTTCTCGTATCTCTTGTTCCCCAAATTCCCACCCCCTCTTCCAGGGCCTGCAGTGACGATCCCGCGGGCCGGGATATCTACTAAAGGTAAGCCAAACCTCAATAAAATAATCTTGATGAAATAGTGCAAAGTTCTGTCTTTAGCCACAAAATGGGAATTCATGAGAAATAAACAGAGAACATTATTTGCTATATAAAAGACATAAGAAATGGTCCATTACAGATCACAACTGTTTATCTTCTAAATTAATCCATGAAAACAGATGCATATCAAGAAAGAATCACTCCCTCAACAATACTTGTGTAAATGAAGGGTCCAGCTTAGTGACAATGTTTCAATAGAAGCTACAACTACAAAATGGATATTTTTGTTATTTTCATTATAAATAGAGCCAAGTTTTCTGCACAATCATATGAAAGTGTAAATTCCAAATGCCATCTCTTGAATGAAACTAAAAGGACAGGTTTTAAAATAGAGGAATAGGGCTATTAGAAACAATTTAGATTGTAAAAAAATGTCTTAAAATGCCATCGCCTCACTTCTGAATATATAATAAAGAAGACAGTCAACGCTTATTTAATTAACTGTGGCTACAGAGAAAGCTCATTTCGCTATTACAATTGTTTAACTTGTAACATGGGTTATAAAAATTCTCTAAATTCAACTTTGCCCCACTCCCATGCCTCCCCTGCTCCCCACTCCCTTCAAGATTTTTTAACGAATTCAGTTACCTTGACACTGTGAGAAAAATATTTATTTGGAATATTCCCATGGTATCATGTAACCAAATACAAGATAGACAAAAGAGAGAGGCAGACAGAAAATATGGTTGATTTTCATACATTTATATGAAAATCAGCCTTATTATTTCACAGTTGTATTGCTTTAAAAAATTTTATTAACATGTATTTTGTGCAAAAATTCAACTATAATGAGGTTTATTTTCATACAAAACTCATAGAAATAAACCTTATTACACATACAGCATATAGCCATGTATATATGTTACCTATATTTTACAGTTACATACAGTTTATCATTCCTTTAAGCCACTGGACTATGGCATAAGGGGCAGAAGCTGTAGTGGCTTATTTCCTGGGCAAGGACACCATGCTTGCATACACTGCACATCCAGAATTGATACTCAGTGATCGGGCTTCCTGTGGCAACGCATGTTGGCAGTTTCCCTTCTCCACTGTAAAACAAGGGGAGAAACAATTCATTATACTTTAAAACTTCTCATTAGTCTAACTTAATTTATTTAATACACTTAAAAAAACCTAAAGAATAAAAATTCCAAGATTAATGTCAAATACTTTCATTTAAAAAAGTTTTTTCAAGAAAAAATCTTTCTTACAATGAAAAAATAAAAGCATGAATATACTTGTAAGAATAAATAAAATAGGGTATAATGTTAATGTGAATTGCTTCAAAATTTAGCGCTTTACTTCCTACATTAAACATTGTACATCTAGAAATCCATGCTTCTAGTAAGGTAGAATGACATCCACTAATTAAAATTAGCCTACCCTTCCATAAGGCTGTCCAATTCAGGTTTTCTGTTATCTTTTGAAGTATGTTTGGTGAATATTTCTAAAGCGAGGTCTTCATACTGCTGTTTCTGTTCTGAACTGAGGGTCTCTAAAGATTTAAGTTTAATGAAAGCTTTTGAACACGTCCCAAAGGCTCTGCTGGCACATGCGCAGAGTGCTAGCAGAGAGTAGATCTCCACAGGAGGGATGATGTCTTCATAGTCTTTCAGATGAAGAGCTAAGAAAACAGGACAATTTGGGTTTTTAAAAATAATTATTATGGTATTATAAACATGCATAAGGAAGAATCTAAGTTAAGGTGTTTTCGTTGAACTTGCATGAACAAACTGAAAGCAAACAGTGTTGAGAGATGGGAGCACTAGGAGGAGGAACTAGGCTACATGATATCCAAGGGTCTGTGAAGCTGGCTAACAGCTCATCCTGTGAAAAGAACCACCACCAAATGCTACACATGGCTGTGCCAGCTCAGAAATACACACACACACACACACACACACAATTTCGGTGTCAATTTTTCTTCAATTTATGTTAGAAATTTCTGTGGCACTTCAGAAACAGCAAATGAGTATTATACTATGTTAGTCATAAACTGCAAGATAATACCAGGTTTCCTTTTGTTTAAAAAAAAAAAAAAAGCAAAACAATATAAGCAAAACAGTATAAAATAATATGTTTTTTTCTTTGTGTTTCTTTGGACAGATCATTGCTTTTGTATTACTGATTTTGTTGTTTGTCTCACTGAAACAACAGGATTTTGTGAAAAAGTGAAAATGAGTCTCCAAGTTGTCAGTTCAGACAATTCGAGTTACAGCATCTTATTTGCAATTATACTGGAGATAAAAATCTTTCTTTAAAATGCACTATAGACTTGGGCCTGTCGGGGGTGGGGACTAGGGGCGGCATAGTATTAGGAGAAATACCTAATGTAGATGACGGTTGAGGGGTGCAGCAAACCACCATGGCACATGTATACCTATGTAACAAACCTGCACGCTCTGCACATGTACCCCAGAACTTAAAGTATAATTTTAAAAATGCAGACTTAATATTCGATTTAATAAGACAATATTAGACTTGACATTAGATTTATAACCAATTTGTATCTTTTTCTTCTCTAGACCTTGGAATCTTAAAAATACTTTGTTATAGTATGTCAAAAATTTCATAAAACAAGCTTAAAACAATATATTCAAGTGTTTTACAATCAGAATCCTATAAACTGGTTCTGGGGTCAAGTATTTACAACAAAGTTTAGTAGAATAAATGTATATAAAATGTAATCATTCAGTTATAATAAACAATATCCTCTAATTTCATATCCAAAGCATAATAGGTTCAAGGGTAATACTTTACAGGTCATACATTGTTTCAGATCATTTTACCACTGACAAAAAAAAAAAATGAGGCATATAGAGATCTTCACCCAGTAGGTGAAGCATCTCAAGTTAAAGATCTAACTGTTCTTTTAAGTCTAAAAATGGTGTATAAATTGAATACGATACAGCTATTTTAAAAAGTGTATAATTTATATCATATACTAGTCAAAACTAAATGAAGGTCAGTTATAAAATAAACATAAATAGAAAAATAATTTTTATATATAATAACCAATTAGAAAAAAAATTATACAACCTCATTGTTAATGACAACAATGTTATCATTAACATTGTTAATGTTAGGAATAAACTGAAAAATAAACGTTTAGAGCCAACAAGAAGAAAACTACAAATCTTTAGAAACACAGATACACAAGTGATTTCTAAAATGGACATTTCTGACAAATATCACATGTTCTCACTCATATGTGGGATCTAAAAAAGTTGACCTTGCAGAGCTTGCAGTGAGCCGAGATTGCGCCACTGTACTCTAGCCAGGGCGACAGAGCAAGACTCTGTCTCAAAAAAAAAAAAAAAAAAGTTGACCTTGGCAGGCAACATGGCCGAATAGGAACAGCTCCCAGCAAGATCGACGCAAAGGTGAGTGATTTCTGCATGTCCAACTGAGGTATCAGGTTCATCTCATTAGGACTGATTGGACAGTGGGTGAAGCCCAAGGCGGATGAGCCAAAGCAGGGTGGGGCGTCACCTAACCTGGGAAGTACAAGGGCATGGGGAAATCCCTCTCCCAGCCAAGGGAAGCCATTAGGGACTGTACCATGCACTCCAGCCCAGATACTGCACTTTTAACACAGTCTTCGCAACCTGCAGACCAGGAGATTCCTTCCGGTGCCCACGCCACCAGGGCCCTGGGTTTCCAGCACAAAACTGGGCGGCCATTTGGGCTGACACCAAGCTAGCTGCAGGAGTTTTTTTTCATACCCCAGTGGCACCTGGAACACCAGCGAGACAGAACTGTTCACTCCCCCGGAAAGGGGGCTGAAGCCAGGGAGCCAAGTGGTCTGGCTCAGTAGGTCCCACCCCCACGGAGCCCAGTAAGCTCAAGATTCACTGGCTTGAAAGTCTCGTGGTTAGCACAGCAGTCTGAGCTCAACCTGGGATGCTTGAGCTTGGTGGGGGAAGGGGCATCCACCATTGCTGAGGCTTAAGTAGGTGGTTTCACCCTCACAGTGTAAACAAAGCTGCTGGGAAGTTGAAACTGGGCGGAGCCCACCCCAGCTCGGCAAGGCCCCTGCAGCCAGACCGCCTCCTCTCCAGGCAGGACAACTCTGAAAAAAAGCCAGCAGCCCCAATCAGGGACTTATAGATAAAACTTCCACCTCCCTGGGACAGAGTACCTGGGGGAAGGGGCGGTTGTGGGCGCAGCTTCAGCAGACTTAGATGTCCCTAACTGGCAGCTCTGAAGACAGCAGCGGATCAACCAGCACAGCGTTCGAGCTCTGATAAGGGACAGACTGCCTCCTCAAGTGTGTCTCTGACCCCCGTGTATCCTGACTAGGAGACATCTCCTAGCGGGTCCCTGACCCCCACGTATCCTGACTAGGAGACACCTCCCAGTAGGGGCCAACAGAGACCACATACAGGAGAGCGTTGGCTGGCATCTGGCAGGTGCCCCTCTGGGACAAAGCTTCCAAAGGAGGAATAGGCAGCAATCTCTGCTGGTCTGCAGCCTCCACTGGTGATATCCAGGCAAACAGGGTCTGGAGTGGACCTCCAGCAAACTCCAGCAGACCTGCAGCAGAGGGGCCTGACTGTTAGAAGGAAAACTAACAAACAGAAAGGAATAGCATCAACATCAACAAAAAGGATGTCTACTCAGAGACCCCATCCAAAGGTCACTGACTTCAAAGACCAAAGGTAGATAAATCCATGAAGATGGGGAGAAACCAGCACAAAAAGGCTGAAAATTCCAAAAACCAAAATGCCTCTTCTCCTACAAAGGATCACAACTCCTCACCAGCAAGGGAACAAAACTGGATGGAGAATGAGTTTGATTAATTGACAGAAGCAGGTTTCAGAAGGTGGGTAATAACAAACTCCTCCCAGCTAAAGGAGCATGTTCTAACCCAATGCAAGGAAGCTAAGAACCTTGAAAAAAGGTTAGACGAATTGCTAACTAGAATTACCAGTTTTGAGAAGAACATAAATGACCTGATGGAGCTGAAAAACACAGCACGAAAACTTTGTGAAGCATACACAAGTATCAATAGCCAAATTGATCAAGCAGAAGAAAAGATATCAAAGATTGAAGATCAACTCAACGAAATAAAGCAAGAAAACAAGACTAGAGTAAAAAGAGTGAAAAGACGTGAACAAAGCCTCAAGAAATACGGGACTATGTGAAAAGGCCAAATCTACGTTTGATTGGTGTACTTGAAAGTGATGGGGAGAATGGAACCAAGCTGGAAAACACTCTTCAGAATATTATCCAGGAGAATTTCCCCAACCTAGCAAGGCAGGCCAACATTCAAATTCAGGAAATATAGAGAATACCACAAAGATACTCCTTGAGAAGAGCAACCCCAAGACACATATCATCAGATTCACCAAGGTTGAAATGAAGGAAAAAATGTTAAGGGCAACCAGAGAGAAAGGTCGGATTACCCAAAAAGGGAAGCCCATCGGACTAACAGCAGATGTCTCAGCAGAAACCCTACAAGCCAGAAGAGAGTGGGGGCCAATATTCAACATTCTTAAAGAATTTTCAACCCAGAATTTCATATCCAGTCAAACTAAGCTTCATAAGCAAAGGAGAAATAAAATCAATGTGCAAAAATAACAAGCATTCCTCTACCCCAATGTCATGACAGTGCTTGCCACGGCCAAGCTGAAAGACCAGTAATGATTTAGTCATTCATATGCTTTGGCTTATAACATAATTATCATAATTACACTCTCTGGAGTTCATATATCTAAACTCTAGAATATTGTTATTGTTAAGAAGAGATTGAGATCCTGATTACTACATGTAAATAATCTTCTATCAATTACAGTACACAAATACCATGCAATATTAGGTAGAATGTTTACATAGATCTCTGTTTAAGAATGAGGAAAGAACTATAATACACTACTGAGGGGAAAAATCATAATCCTGTATGTAGAAACATCTAAAAGGAAGTTTACCCAAACCTTAGCAATGATTACCTCTGAGTTACAGGATTATTTTATAAATTATTAGATTATTTTACTTTTTCTTCATATTTTTGTTTTGGTTGAAATTATTAAAGTATCACTTTTATAAAACACAAGATAAATGCTATAGCAATGTATATGTAAAATATGGAAATATTTTAAAACATGGTTTTGAAAAAGTACATAAAAGTATGCCATGTTATACTCCCAATATTGTAAAGAATAGAATTATCTTAATGTATGTATTAAATATATTTTATGATTTTAAATATATGTATTAAGTATATTTAATATATACATGTATATATATTTTTCTCCAAAAAATATTAACTTGGGTACGAAGTATTTAACTTTGAATGGCTAGCCATATGAATGCTATACACATTCTTTTTGCTTATCTCAAATTTCTGACGTTTCTGTGAACTATGTGTTTTCTCTGCATTAAAAAAAAAACTTCAAAAATGGGTATGCATAAGACAAATTATATATAGCATAATCTCAAACGTAAGAAAATAAATCCATAGGAAAAAATGTTATTAAAGGCCACATAAAGGCAAATTGAAGAAGCTGGCCCTTCACACTCAATTTATAATATTCAGACATACTATACACATTAGGTGACATGCCCACCTGTCTTCAGTGCAGTGTCCACATATCCCTCATAGAGCTGCCTCTGTGCAAGTATAAAGAAGTGGTAAGCCTCTGCCCCTCTCCATGCATTATCTGTGAAACGATCTGTTGTAGACAGAACTTCCTCTTCCAGCAAACCAGCCAAGGCAGAAGTGGCCTACAAGTAAAGTCAGCCCACACTTTGCATCAGTACAAACACACACACAGCTATCAACTCCCGAATAACAACAGTCATTAAAGTATCTAAACGAGCAGATTTTATCATTACTAAACTATGATTACAGACTTTTTTTTTAAGAGATGAGGTATTACTGTCACCCAAGCTGGAATGCAGTTGCATGGTCATAGCTCACTGCAGTCTCAAACTCACGGACTCAAGTGATCCTCCCACCTAAGCCTCCCTAGTCACTGAGATTACTGGTGTGAGCCACTGCACCCAAAACAGACTTAATTTTTTAGTATAATTCATAGTTTGTTAAACTGGTATGAATAAATTTTAAAATATAACTAATTAGATTTTAAGTTAATCAGACATTCTTTTATGCATTAAAATAATATATCTAGGAAAGTTTTAAAACTCACTGATGAGAAAGGAGGATTTCCCAGGTAAGTAAAATTTTTTAACAAAAATAAGACATTAAAGCAAAGACTACAGATTAGTATTATAGAAAAACAATTTCAATATTTCTAGGTAGAAATTTCTAAATTTGAATACTAATTCTAAATCAGTCATTATTTTTCTTCATATCATTTAAAGAAACAAATGCAGACACGCGAATTAAATGACCTGTCCATAAGAGAAGTTTGACAGTCTCTTTCTCTTTTTTCTTAAACACTTCGGATGATTTAATGTTATTTAACCTGCTACTTTACCTCTGAACTTTTTCCTTTCACTTTTCCTCGCTGGGCATTCTTCATCTGTTCATGATATTGCTCTATAAGTAAGGCTGACAGTACATAGAGCTTCTTGACACGTAAAGGTTTACTTCCTTTCTTTGCCTCTTCATCTGCAATCTTAAACATTTTTAAAAATTGAGAGAAGTTACTTCTTATCTATATTTGTACAAATATAATCATTTCCAAAACTAACAAATTTGATTCCCTAAAAAAGGAGGAAAATCAGTAAGATGGAATATAAATACCACCTATTTAAGATAAATATTTTAAAACCTATCTTCGTTTCATTAGTACCTATACATATTTAGTTCTTTCCTTAGTGTTTAGCCCTAGGAGTTGCAACTCAGATCACTCTTAGAAAATGAGAGGTGCTGTTAGATAACTACATCAGAATAAAGAAAGTGTTGATGACATGCTGGTATTTTCCATAACACAAAGATTTTTAAAATAATGTTCCAAGTACACAAAGAAATCATGGTGTTAACACGGTGCATTCTTCAGAAGCTGAAACTTATTTAAATGATTGTGAGAGAAATTTTTCCTTTTTCATTAAATTAAACGGGAATAGAATAGAATGTAAAATGTGTATACATTAATACTATACTAATTATCTTCCCTCCAAATAAATATTATGTAAAGTGTAATATTTAAAACTTGTACATTTAAAATAACTCAAAACTCTATTATCAACAAAATTTAATTCCCTGTTGTAGAAATTTGTACTTTGTAGTTTCAGCACTTTCTTTAACTCTTTGTTAACTCCAGTATTCAACATACAATTGTTTAGGTATTAGTAAGTTGCTAATATTAATAAACATCTTTGTTGGTAAAAGGCAGTAACACTAAAATAATGTATACAGAAGCAATAAAACCAGAGTGGTTTTTTTGTAATAAATATTTGTTTCCAAAGAAAATGGAGAATGTGCTCTTTCATATATTAAAATATTGTGACTGGAACAAATCAAATATTCACCAAGATTTTTACATTACCTTAAACATCAGTTTAGCAGCATCAAAAAAGTAATTGGCTTTCCGATAGAGTTCTATGGCATCAAGAGTTTTATTCTTTTCCAGTAAATGAGATGCATACCTAGCTAATAGAGATCCAATTTCTTTCATACTATGATTTTGAGCCAATTCAACAGCTTTGTTCCACTAGGAGAAAAATTACACCATTCAGTCACCCAAGTATTTACAGTCACATATATCATAAAATTCACACAAGAAAGCTTTCACTTTATAATAAAAGCCCAATTTCCAAATTAAAAATGGTTATATTTTTAAAATAGCATTTAAAATCACAGCAACACAAGTTCTATAAGCATACATCAAAATGATTAAGTGAACTCTAAGACTCTGATTTGCTTAAGAAATACATGTGAAAATGAAAGTTTCAAAGTTTATATTAATCTTGTAATTCTCATCTTACAAAACGTCAAGCAAGAAAAAGATATACTTGTTTACATTGTATAATAAAACAAAATATGCAATTTCAGTTGTGAAAAAATCCTACCAGATTTGACATTTAAAAATTATTTTTATAAAGCAAATGAGGTTTTAAAAATACTTTAAGAAAAATATTAAAAGAATACATTGATTGTCAATAGTTTCTGTAATAACTCTGTACTTTCAGTTTAATTTCAGCTCTTAAAAATATCAAATGTATGTTTTCTATAAAGGAAAAGGAAAACAGATTTGCCAAAATAAATATTGATAAAGTAACTCGATTCCTTCCTCAGGCAATGACCGACTATTAACTGGTCCTTCTTTGGAAACAAAACCCAACCCTAATAAAATGCAGAAAATTATGAAATTACTTCCAGACAAAAACTTGCCAGACTAAAAGCGCGGGTTTGTTCATGCTCCCATACTGAGCTGGCTATAAGTGGGTCACCCCTCATGGTAGCACTTTAAGAGGTAAGTGTAACTTTCTTGGTCCTCAATTAAGAGAATACCCGCCTGGCTCCTTTCATAAAATTCATGTCAGGCTCTCCAACCCTTACATTGCCAATAATCTTTAAAAGATCACTAGGGTGACTTTAATTTGGCTTGACTTAAAAATTCCTAAGACAGCAAGCTGCACAGACAGAAAGTTTCAGTTCCTACTTGGTTGAGATGTACGCAGGTATCTACCGCTGCCTTTGGTTGATTACATTTCAAAAATGCAGTCACTGCTTGTTCACACATCCCAACTCTGACAAACATTTGTGCTATTTCCTGTACAAACAAAACAATACTATCAGATTTCATAGAGCAAAGAAATTACTTATATTTTAATTTAACAAAATTCCGTAGGGACGTATGAGTATTAAATTTACTGGTAGTTACAGATTTTTCTTGTAAACAGACGCAAGGGCAGAGGGTACAATTGAGAACGGATGCTAAGGCCTCACTTCTATAAAACCAGAGCTTCACTGGCTCAGGCTGTGGATCTGATTTTTAACAAGGCCCTGAAGACACTGCACTCCTTTCTTTTCTCAGTTCAGTAGCTAGTACACAGAAATGTCAAGCTCCAAAACAAATCCCCCACAACTGCGTGAAAAAAACCTTTATGTCAATTGGTGGTATACTCAGGGCTAATTATTAACTAGAGACTTAAGGGAAATCTCACATCCATAGAGTTCTCAAATACCTCTGTAAAGAAATGTCCTAGAGAAGTCTGCCATTAATCAATTCAGGAAGCTAGACCCAAAACAGAGCTCCCTTGGAAAGTGGTGGCAGCAAGGAAGAACCACCATCACCACCACCACCACCACCACAACAAATCTTACCTTGTTCAGCTGCACTGGCCATTTTCAGAACACCATTTTTTTTCTTTCAGAATATCTAATTAGCCAGAGGTTTTCCCTCCCCAACCCTTCTACAATATTTTTAGAAGTATGAAAATATATTTTATATCCAACTATCTTTTTAAAAACAATGCTTATATTTTTCTGATTATAAGGGAATATATTCTAATTGTAAAAAAAAAATTACAAAACATGAAAAAGTGAAATTACTCATAATCTTATCATTTATAAGAAACCTCTCTCAATAGTCTGGTGTAATTTCTTAACATCTTTGTCCTATGAATATATATGTATATGTTTATGTTGTACACAATCATACAATACATAATTTTGTATCCCGTATTTCCTATTTAAATATTATGTACACTTTCCCACAATATTAAAAATTCCTCTATAACTCTATTTAAAACTTATAATACTAAAATCTTTACTATTTTAGTTATTTAATTATTATTATAGTTATAATTACTTAGTATTTACTCAGGAATATTACTATTCTGGATACCCTACAGCAAAATGTTTGTTGGCGTCATCAGACACATCTAACAGACAACACTAATGGAGGATACACTCTTCGCTATACCCCAGGGTTCTAAGTAATTTCAGTTTCTTTCCTACTCAAGAAAACCCATAGGATTGAAAATAAGGGGGAGTGAAAATACCATTACAGAGATAACTGCTCAAATTCACAATAGGGAAAACTGAATTGCCATAATTCTATACTTATCTATTAGCTAATAGGCAAAATCTTTGAAGTGGAACTCACAACTGAAATACGTTCAGACTCTGCAGTTGAGAGCCGCCAGCTGTACAAGTATTGTACAGCTCAGTGATTTACATATTAAACACATAAAATACAAACTTATTTACAGTATTCAACAATTAATTAAGAGGCTCTAAAAGAACATTCGAAAGCAAGAGAACTCTTTCGATTTCTCTTTTAACTTGAAATACTTTATTGTTATATAACATAATAAAAGTTGAGCAATCATTTTAAACTTATACAGCAAATTTCAAACAATTTCAGATTATTTTGAAGCAAATCCCTAGCAACATATCATTTCATCTGTAAATATTTCATGTATTCAGCTAACATTTAAAAAGCAACTTTATAAATCTTAACAGACAACATGAGACTGTGATAATGTTAAAGTAGTAGGAATGTGACTGACTTTCCCCCTCCATTTTCAAGCATTCTATATAATTTATATATTGTTTTATAATTAAAAGCATCATTCAATGTCTAAGAAACTGTAAAATTATAGATTTTTAATTTTCTTTATTGTGGGAGATATTTCCTGACTATAACATAAAATTTTATAAAGTAACCTAACAATTCCAAAACCTAAAATTTGCAATACCTACTGGAAGTAACTTGTGGTTTTCTGGAAGTGAAACGGCAAGGTTCTCTAATCCCTCATAATCCTCTAACATATAGTAACATTCAGCTAAGCGTTCCTGGTTCCGCCCTTGTACATAATATTGTACAGCATTCAACCTACAGAAAGAAAAAAGGAAAAACTTTTAGAACTAATGTGAATCTCCTGATAAATAAGCCCTTTCAACCAAAATGTTCCTTCATCAGAATTCCCAGTGCTAGTATTACTGTTCATTATCTTCAGCTCCAGAATAACTTTCAAACATATAAATGGGGAAAAAAATCTAAAGCATATTCTAGTTGTAACATTCCTTGGCTATTCTTAAGAAATACCACTGCTTTACTCCCAAACACCGACATAAATAAGCATACTAATCAAAATGAAAAGAACAAAAGTCAATGATTTCTGAAAATAATATATAATAAAGCAAATAAAAACATTTATTAAACTTTGTTCAAAAATAAATCATAAAACATTGTAGAATTATATACTCACAGTATCTCTTTGACTACTATCAAAGTAGTCTCAAAGAGAAAACTGCGTGGAGCTAAGTGCAAGTTTTGTGTTTATACACTCCAAATTTTTGTAGTGCTCATCTCACAACTTCACAGGATCTCTGCCTTTCCAAAATGAATCTAGAGGTATCTGAATCTTAGAATTCAAGAAGATGATCTTAATTTCCCCAAGATTACTTCCTAGAGAAGTACTCAGGCAGCTACTAAGTGTTGCACAAATGCTTGAGGAGCTCCAGGTAAGTTACATACCACTTTTGTCGATCAGCAAAGTAGTCTCCAATGGCATTGTTGGCTTGTTCCATGAGACTGTCATCTGCATCACCAGATCCAGTTTTCAGGAGCTGGAGTACTCTAAACCAATCCCCTAATTTCAGCCGAAGGCCAATAGCAAGATCCCTACAAACAAAGGCATTCATTCATTCACCTATTTGACAAATATTTACCAAGAGCCTACTATGTGTTAGACACAGTTCTAGGTGCTGAGATTACACAGCAGTGAACAATGTCAAACATTTTAGAAACTTAGCCTGACTAGGTAAGAGGAAATGAGGAGCACCTGGAGGTTATGGTTTGAATGTGTGTCCCCTCCAAAATTCATGTTAAAACTTAAATCTCCATTGTGATAGTATTAAGAGGTGGGGTTTTGGGGAAGTCATTATGTCTGCCCTTATGAATTCATTAACGCCCTTATAAAAGACTCTTCAGAGAATTTGCCCCTTTTGCCCTTTTCACTTTCCACTGTGTAAAGGCATAACATTCAAAGCACCATCTTGGAAGTAAGATAGGGCCCTCAACAGACACTAAACCTGTTGATGCCTTGACCTTAGACTTCCTAGTCTCCAGAACTGTGAGAAAAATATTTCCATTCTTTATAAATTATCCAGTCTCAGGTATCTTGTTATAGCAGTCCAAATGGTCTAAGATACCAGACTAGGGAAAAGAAAACAATGTTGTGCCTTTACTTTCCTGGACTTTCAATTTATTTAGCAAAATAATGATTTAAATAATAATCATTTCTTTTCAGCAATTTCTTAGACGTGATCAGGTTTATTTCAAAACAAAACACGGTGTAAACACATGTGGTTTTATATTTCTTTTCAGAGCCTAAGTCGTATTAGAGATCTCCTGGGAGTATAAATAACATTAATGAAAATGAGATACAATGTTAACAGCTGAAATGAAGTTCAGACAGACTCTCCACCTTGAGGTTCAGTGGCTAAGATTCTCTGCTTTCACAGCAGCTGCCTGGGTTTGATTCCTGGCGAGGGAGACAGGCCTTACAGTTCTTTAATTCAAAAGAAGAAATATTTATGAAGTTCATACATTATTTTATATAAATCAAAAATGAAATCTAAAGAACTAATCTCACTCCCTAACTACTTCTGATTTTTATTTTATGCCTCTTGACAACAGAAAATTAAATAATGACCTAAACAAAGAAAGAAAGAAAGAACTGGAATAATGAGCTATGTCATAAATCTGAAAGATCTCAGTCTCTGTTGTTCTATCATTTTTTCCCACCAAATAAAAAGAAAACCTCCCATAGTCAGCCATTATTAAATTTAAAAACACAGAATAAAACTGCCTCCAGACTATGAAACACAAATAAATGAGGGGCATGTAGAATATCTAGGTTGTAATCCAAACGTAAAATTAATTTCTGAAAGAAACTGTATGACACACCTAATCTATTTATAGTCCTCATTTGTAAAAAATACAATGATGAACTGACAGAGCACTCAGGGATGCCTGCACCTTCGTAATTTACCTTCTGTCCATCTCAAGATACGTTCTTTCAGCCTCTTCAAACCTGCCAAAGTAGCCAACAACTTCAGCCTGTTTCATTGACTCACTCAGTAGTTTGCCCAAGCGCTTCACAAACTTAATGCCTTGGTAATCTTTGCAGCGCACAAATGCTTGCTCTGCAGTGTATAGATCCAGTTTCTGAAGAGCTGCTTCAGCCAGTAGGCGCCTTTATTTTAAAAGAAACAAAAACATAAATGCATATTGCAAATTACTGATAAACTAGTCTTGAATCACAATTATCAATTATTATGTCTATTGTTTCTAGAGAAACATGGTGGAAAGTAACACATGCAAACATTTTTCAAATAATATTCTGCTTATTTTGAGGACTTCCAAATCTAAAATGAATTTCTATATTTTAAAAAGAAGAGCAAGAATGGAAGTTTGTTCCCATCACGAGGATAGTAGGGGAGCAGACGGACAGAGCTGAGACTTTAAAAACCTACACCTGACACCCTGGGAGAGTTTGCTTTTTTTAAATACCAAAGTCGGGGGTGTGGATTGTCCTCTATGAACTGAGATGCATCTTTAATTCCAACCTTCTCAATCAGTGCTCGGCTATCTCGCAGAGACCGAATCTCAAAGTTAATTAGGTAATCCTTGTTTGGATGTTCTGGATCCTGAAAGTAAAGATGGAAACAAAAAAAAATTCAAATACTTGCTGTTAGAGTATGTGTTTCTTTTTTATATTAAAAACCAGAACAAAACAAAACAAGAAAAAAAAACAGCATCGTATTGTGAGCAAAATAAGGAAGAGAAATCTTCATGTTTGGGTCTTCTGAGTTATTTGAAAAACACCCAAAACCCACAAGTGAAGTCCCTCCTGAGGCAATCAGGTAGCCTATGAGGAAAAGGGGACAGAGGAAAATGGCAGAAGGGGTCCCTCACAGTTACGCATCCCTGTTTCCCTCTGCTCAGATTGGTTTTTCACCTTAAATAAGATAACATATCTCAAAGATTCAGCACAATGCCTAGCTGTCCTATTTACAGTATTCAATATTCATTATCTCAGAACTGATCTAACGCTCTCCTGCTTCAGAACTTTGAACAGGTAAACCATCGTGACTGAATCACAGCACCCCAACTCTTTTCCAGCAACTGAATTACTTATTCATCTCCTCAACTCTTCTACCTGAGGCCAAGAACTGTGTCTTATTGGCTCTTAATAGTTGCTGAATTGATGAACAGATGAACTTTGGGTAAATCATTTTACCATTGAGAGCCTTCTTTATCTAAAAAACTTCACAAAATTCAATATAATCATCAATTACAGCAACAACACCACAGGCATTTTCATGCATTCTAGAGCTTAAGGCAATTGGAAATTTATCAGCCTTTCTTGAAAAACACTACTAATGATGAAATCCAGCCAACTAAAAGATTAATCAAAATTAAGAACTTATGTACAGAGAAAATGTAGTAAAAAGCTTTGAATTCATTTAAATATTAAGACTAAACAACTGGAAATTAGGATTATAAGACAAAATTAAAATGTTTTAAATCTTGACCATGTAAAAATAATATATCCACAAAAGGAAAAACAGAAGAAAATGTAAGAATGTTATCTTTTAGAGTGGAAAGACAATACTATTAAAAATTAAAATATAATTTAGACTAATAACTTCCTGTTTTTTCATAATTTTTCTTCTCAACCCAGGAAAATGGTATTGTTTGTAGTGGAAAAATACTATCAAAAAGTCTAGAATTCCTTTAAACTCACTTTCAGGTTATCTAATTAAATTAACACTAAAAAAGTAGATTGTACAATGATGCCATTTTTATAAAATTACTTCTGTTCATCCATCTAAATCTATCAAATCCATATTTCCATATATAACGTGCAGCTGTTAGGAATGATGTTCTGATGTTTAATCTAATGGTAATAACTAAAATATCTGAGTTGTGGGATTTACGGGTTTTTTAAACTTTTTTCAGTACTTTTCTGTATTGCTTGAATTCTACATAACTGTGCCATTTTTTTAAGCAATAAAGTATTCATTTTTAAAAATCAATTTAACCAACACTTTCTGAAAACCAACTCTGTATCAGATGTTTGCTAGAGGTTAGGGATTCAAGAAGCTCACTCTCTATCAAACCATTAAATATATAAAAACAGACAAAATATTTCAGTCACCTTAGTTTGACTCTACCCATTTATGACTGCTTTTTTAAAGGGCACTGGAAAAACCACATATTCGGGAAAAAAAAAAGAAAGAAAGAAACAAGGTCTTCTTTCCATGAATCTTTTTGGGAAAGAAGACAAGCAGGAAACATGTTCTGGCTGGGCATGGTAGCTCACACCTGTAATCCTAACATTTTGGGAGGGCAAAGCGAGAGTTTCACTTGAACCCAGGAGTTCAAGACCAGCCTTGGCCAACATGGCGAAACCCCATCTCTACAAAAAAAAAGAAAAAAACACAAAAAATTAGCCAAGCATAGTGGCCTGTGCCTGGGACCCCAGCTACTCATGAGGCTGAGGTGGGAGGATCACTTGAGCTGGGGAGGCAGAGGCTACAGTGAGCCATGATGGCACCACTGCACTCCAGCCTGGGTGACAGAGAGAAATCCTGCCGAAAAAAAAAAAAAAAAAAGACAACTTTCTTCACATGTGAGGAAAAGGAAAAAATATTATCTGGTGGTACTGTATTCAAGTTAAACAGGCAATGAAATAAGTTCATTAGTTTTACAAGTCATATACCTTAAACAAGGACAAGAAAAGTGCTATCCACATAGAGAAGAGTCAAATAGTCAAATCTGGAGGTTACATAATCCTAGGTAATAACAGCCCAGACTCCATTTTTGATGGCTGGCTGCTGACAGCTTTTAAACCTCACCCCTTCTTCTTCCCCTCTGCCTCATATGGGGCAAGCTAATGAGAAAGTCCAGATGCTCCTTACTTTGGGGCGCCAGTGAGTTTCAAACCACATAAGTCCCTATCCATTAAAATCCTTACCCCAGACCCACTCCCTAACTACTAAACAACAAAACAACAACAAAAACACCCTCGAGCCAGTCTCCTGTCCCTGTGCTTTCCAGACATTTCAGACAGCTTGGGAAGCCTGCCCTTCTCTCTCCTAAAAAACCTCATTATGGAAGATACATTCTTGGTGTCTCTATGGTATCATCAATCTTTACATCCAAACCAAATTTTGGGTGGGGGCCCATCCTGTTGCTGCATGGTGGTTACGATATAGAAAAATGAAACTGGTTCACAAGAAAAGAGCCATAATTTACATATCAAACCCAAATACGAAAACCTGTTTCAAATTGCCACTAACTTCTGGAAATTTTAAATCTACTATCTCAATTCAAAAACTATATATATTACATAGAAAAAGTTAATGCTTTGACTAAAATGAAGGTAAAACTTATCTCAGTATATTCTTAGAGAAAAAAAATTCTCAAACGATGGTCAATGAAGGCCAATGCAGGGGTTCAAAATCATGTCTTGAATTTAAAAAAAGAATTATTTTACAAATCCTGGAAAAAATGGAAAGAATAGATCTCTAAAAAAAAGTTACTCGAGTATCTTAGAACTAGAAAAAGGCTAAACTCCTAAATAGTTCTTCAGTACATCATTATTACTACAAAAACAATAACAGCAATTAGCACTCTTCTTTTTAAGCTCTCGCTTGGCCGTAGCATTGTGCTAATTGCTTTTCACACATTATCTTAAATGATGACAATCCTATAAGTAGTCGTATTATCCATATTTTATAAAGGCAATAACTGAGACTCATACATTTTTATCACCATTTACAGGAAAGGAAAGTGAAGCTCAAAAAGATGAGGGCACCCACCTAAAGGCTGAACAACAAGAGAGCAGGGCTGAGCCTGAGATACATCTGACTCCTGGGTCCACACTGCTAACCAGGATACTACACTGCCTGGTCCAGAAATAAATAATCCCCAGTCAAGCTAGCAACAGAAATGTAACTTTTTAGGAATTACCTTTAATATCTCATCCAAAAGAACAGATTTAATTTCTAAATCCTCAAAATTACAAATATATCCAGAGGTCTGAATGGGTTCCTTTAAAGACAAAAACAAATATTATGTTTCATTATGTAAAATTTCCTCTCTTCTAACAAATCATGCTTTTAAATTTTATTATCAGAGGTTTCAGGTAAACAGAAGAGAGAATGTCATTAAAACCTATATACCCATAACCTAAGTAATTAACATTATGGTAAATATGCTTCATTTAACTTCTTGGCTGAAGTATTGTAAAGTAAGTGCAGTAAATTACGAACATCATGATATTTTACCCCTATTTCGTACATATCTTTAAAACATAAGAATTTTCTCTTACATGGCCACATTACTATGATCACACCTTATATAATTAATATTAATTCCCTAATAGCATGTAATATTCAGTTCAATTTTCTCAATTAATAAAAAGTCTTACATAGCTTGAAAATTCTAATTCATGCAATTCAATATTAAAGTTAATTCTTCATAAAACTGATAAATGCTATATTTGTATGTAAGCCCATCTATCAAAGAAATCCCACAGCACACTGAACAGTCTCTCCTCTGTAACATGAACCAGAGTGCATTCCCGATATATTTCCTACTCTTAAGACTTATTTGCCAATATGTAAGTGCATGAGACTGTTATACATCTGCCTCTTATCTTAGTGTTATACAGGCTTGTTGAAGTAAAAAATAGGATATGCATATTATAAAGTAAAGTAGCTACCCTAGATCTTTAGTAGAAAAAAAGGTATCAATATTATATAGACAAAAATAAATAAACTGCCAATATACTTAATACCTCTAAGAATACTGTAAAAAAAATAGAATAATGTTGTCTGGTAATAGAAACAGTATCAGATTGCAATTTTTAAAACTATGTGTATGTATATATTTCATAAAGTAGAAAGTAACCAAAATCCAAATGAAATAACATTTCAAATTTATAACTCTGAAAGTTGGTCCTTCACATATGATTCAGAAATTATAATAAAAAGAAGACACCAAAAAGATGAAAACAAGAGGTAAAAATGGAATCATATTTAGTTTGACTTTAGTATGTTTAAGAATGAGGCTCTTGGCCGGGCGCGGTGGCTCAAGCCTGTAATCCCAGCACTTTGGGAGGCCGAGACGGGCGGATCACGAGGTCAGGAGATCGAGACCATCCTGGCGAACAACGGTGAAACCAAGTCTCTACTAAGAAATACAAAAAAAAACTAAGCCAGGCGAGGTGGGCGGCGGGCCTGTAGTCTCAGCTACTCGGAGGCTGAGGCAGGAGAATGGCGTAAACCCGGAGAGGCGCTGAGCGTCAGGCTTGAGTGAAGCGCAGATCCGGCCAACTTGCACTCCAGCCTGGGCGACAGAGCCAGACTCCATCTCAAAAAAAAAAAAAAAAAAAAAAGAATGAGGCTCTTGTATGCATACTATAAGTGTTTTGAGGGTTTTTAAATGTTTTTCAGACTGGGCGCTGATGGCTCATGCGCCTTTAATCCCAGCACTTTGGAAGGCTGAGACAAGAGGATCATTTCTGGCCTAGAGTTTGAGATCAGCTTGGCCAACACAGTGAAACACCATCTTTAAAAAAAATAATAAAATAAAAAAACTTTTTTTTTTTTTTTTTTGAGACGGAGTCTCGCTCTGTTGCCCAGGCTGGAGTGCAGTGGCCGGATCTCGGCGTCACTGCAAGCTCTGTCTCCTGGGTTCACACCATTCTCCTGCCTCAGCCTCCCAAGTAGCTGGGACTACAGGCACCCGCCACCTGCGCCCGGCTAGTTTTTTGTATTGTTTTTAGTAGAGACGGGTTTCAGGGTTAGCCAGGATCGGTCTGCGATCTCCTGACCTCGTGATCCGCCCGTCTCAGCCTCCCAAAGTGCTGGGATTACAGGCTTGAGCCACCGCACCCGGCCAAAAAAGTTGTTTTTCTTTTAAAAATTACAAATTGTTGAATAAAATATTCAAGTTACATAAGAAAATTTCATAAAACCCCTTTATTACCTTAAAAAAGGGTTGTATTACATAAAGGTAAATAATATGCTTTAAGAGCAAAAAACAAAGAATCAGAACAAAATTTAATTTAAAAAGGAAGCATATATAATAAGATATTTCTTATAGGGTATAGGGGCCTTTTGTGTACCTCGATTATTTTGATACTATATGTAAATCAAATATATTTGTATAAACATGTTTATCATTAGAAATTTTTTTTATTTTTGGCTAGACAGTGCAATAAAACAAGATAATCAAAAGATAAACTCACGAAAGTTGATCTATGGAAAAAAAAAATACTACCAAAGAGAAAGGGAGAAAGATGGAGAGAGAGAAATAAAAAACTAAGAGTTTCAAAAATAATCTGATTATTAATGCATAAGTAAATACACACATTCATGCAATTCAGATTTTAAAAATTCAACTTCTGCTGGAATTAACCAATTTTCTTTAGTTTCCAAAATTCATTAGCTAACTATTCACACACTTCATTTAAATACGAAATTTCAGACCAGCAGGGTCTCACCTAAGCAGTATACAAGATATTTCTTTTTATTAAAAAAGTTTCCAAAGCTTTAATAATCTATACTACACCAAGAAATATTGGCACCTTTATTCAGCACACAAATCAGAAGGCCTCATAATATGTACCACATAATGAATATCCTGAAGTACCCTTATTTGTCCTACAATTTTAGTGTATTGTGACATACTGAGGTTTGCATATACCTAAGTGAATTTAGGGATTCCATTACCTAATTTTAGCTAACCCTCACAAACTGGACAAGCGGCTTAAAAAGCTTCTTGCAAAGAATTTGTAAATTAAAAGTAATATTAATAATGCAAGCACAAGCCAACAAGGAAAGGTAGAACTGACACCTCTCTTACTCCTAGTACAGATCCTTGTGTCAGTCATATTACGACATGAAAACAATGACAATCCTATCAGTTCTGACCAAAAGTCAGCAAGGTCAAAGTTATCAAGTAGACTATTTGAAACGTGAGACTTTTATCCACTAAGTTAACAAAACCTTGCTCTAAAATCTGCATTATGCTGACATACTAGCTAATGTAACATTAGCATGAACCATAGCAATTAGCATGACTTATAAAAATAAAGTTATATCATCCAGTAAAATTTATTTTTCTCATTCTTTTAAAATTTCTATTTTGGCCCATGATTCATAATATATTAATATGGTAGGTCATGTAAATAATTTCTAAATAAATATGTATATATAAAAGCATATATTCAAAAGTTTGGGAGCACCTTGTTTGAAAAAGAAGCAAATGTACAAAAATGAGAGTCTGATTGATGAAATTATGAGATATGAAAGAAACGTGAATATGAAATTGTAGTGCCAATGAGAAGGAAGAGCCAAGAAAAAGAACAAAAGAGCACAATCAGTACCTTCAGAGGGTCACTGGAGGTGAAAATGATCAAGCAGGGAATATCAACATTAAATATTCATCTCCTAATTCTCAAAAAAAATGTACTTTATCAGTGAATTAAAACTTTGCACACAGATGGCATCTTTTTCTCTCAAATAATCTGAAGACTTACAGCTTAAATAAAGGTATGAATTTAGAATTCTTAACAACACTCAAAAGGATAAAAATATATTCTACTATTACCTGTCAAACAATAACTTATCTCCTAAACAATAACACAGAATACTATGTCCTGAAGGAACATACTATTAAATGTAGCTCAGCAGATCCTGTAAAACAGATCTTCTCTGTTTTGAAGAGATCATGTTCTTACATGATCAATTAGCAGCTAGAAAAGCAAATGAGTAGAGCAGCTAAACCAGTTGCGACCACAGAAAGCCAGTGTCCTTGTGAATGAAAAGAACAGAACAGCATCATTTATAAAGACATCCAGACAGTGGGAAGGTTGTAAGAAATCCATCTAGCTCTAAATCTAACAGAAATCGAACTACATGCCAAACCAGAAAACAAATTCAAATTTAAAAATAGTATGTTTTTAAAAGGTTGTTCTGTTAAAACTACTTAAGAAACTCTTTCCACCAGGCAAAAATTTCACTTGTACCAGACTGACCATGTGTGCTATAGACACATTATGAGCAGCCAGATATAACAAACATTCTCCCTTTTCCAGGCATATGATTTGTGACTTAGTATGAGCAGGGCAAAGGATAGAAAAGACTCTTAACATTCAAAAAGTATTCTACTCCCATCCTCAAGGTTATCCTGTGATTACCTGTCAAATTCCCACAATTGTTTTGTGGCAAGGATTAAATTTCCCTTGGACCCCTGAAAGAAGCCCATGCTTACAGGTCAAATGCAACAGCCCTGAATCTGAATGCCTTTCCTTTGAACCATTTCTCAGGGTCGAAGAATCACAAAGATCCTAAGACTTGCAAAAGCCTTAACAGAACCTTTGACAGCACTTTACATCAGGGCATTTTACATCCAAAATTCCTGAGTAGGGCTCAAATGGGGAAATGTGAAAATAATTTAGGATATGAAAGGAGCAAACAGTTTACCACTAAATAAATTACTCCAGAAACCCTTTGGCAGCTCAGGGGCCCAAGCATGCAATTTCTTCCCAAGAAGGAAGCTATACATGCAAACAAATGGAAATTAACGATATAAAGCATTTATTAACTTATTCCTTATTATTTACAAGAGTAGACTGCAGCAGGAGTACAGAAAATTCCAAATTGAAATCCATTACTAATTCAAAAGTCATTTAAAAGATTTATCTTCTTAATGATATTTTGATTAGATTACCACTCAGATTATTTTGTATTTCCTAAATACAACAGCTGACAGTTGGCCAGAGTCAACTAAGTGACAGGAAAATCCAGAGCATAGAAATTAGCTGATGTGAGCCACAAGTAGAAAATCAAAATATAACCTTAAAAATGAGAACAGAGGGGGCTTCCTCATACCCAAAAAAGAGATTAATCACTGCCTGCACTTGCATACTTTTAAGAATATCTGGGTTAAGAAAGAACACAGATTTGTGAGCAATATGATAAATGTAAACAGAAATAAGACAAAGTAAGCACAGAATAAAGTGAATAAAGAGACAGAAAAGAATGAATGGACAAGGAAATTTGAAAACTGTATTTTTATTAGGTTCTTTTAAGAAATTCTGGTAGATAAGACTACTGACTTTCTTAGTTTTCTTAAGTTTGACAAGGAAAAAAAAGGACTAGTGACCATGGCTCCACCTTTTTAGAACAGATAAATAAATGCCTAGGAAGTACTTTTCGGAGAAACTAGAGAATATTTAATAAATAAGCATTTTCTCACCTAAGACCGAATATTTTTAAAATCCACAGAAATGTTCCTATTTATTTTCAGAAATTCATGCAGCCATGTTGGCACTGCTGTTCAACAAACTTCTTAAAGAAACAAGGGGGAATCATCCAGGTTTTTATATTTGGCTCATTATTTATAGACTGTTAACACTCATTTCTTGTTTTTACCTCAGGATCCAAGTTTCTGAAAACATACATTCTTGTCTTCTCCATCATTGCAAACAAATCAGGATTATCTTTGGCCCACTTCATATCCCAGACATCTCTTCGCTCCAATTTTAACAACTCTCCAACTACTTGCTGTCCTGTACTGTCCGTTACTCGAGCATCCAAGTCAAAGAAAGTCAGAACTCCTGAGATATCTATGATAGCAAGACGGCTAAAAATAATGCAATTGGAGAAAAGGAAAAAACTATAAAATTACTATCAGCAATCATGAGAATAATTACCTACAGCCATTCTTCTTCAAAATCAGATTATCAGAAACCTGGAATACAGTAGAAATGGCTTAAATTTTTTTAAATAAATTTGATACAAGATATGGACTGCTCTCCATTTTGCTCTCTTCTGAGGAAAATGTATCCAAAGAGATGAAACCAACGGGTATTAAATATAAAATAATCTCAATGCTTTTAAGTTTTATGAGTAAAAATTATACTAGTACTTCCATATGCCCCATTAAAGATATTTAAACCAAATGCAGTATAAAATAAAACCATACTGAATTTTAAGACAAGTTCAATAGACACACCCATCTTCACATTTATTACATATAAATCTAACAATCCCAACTGATAATTCCTAAGTCTAACATCTACATGAGCAGAGTTTTCAGGCTTACCTAGAGTTGCAATTCAAGGATAACTGGTAGCCTCGACAATTAAGGGAATATTTTTGAATCAAACCAACATTAGGTAGACTGTATCTCTGAATGGTGCCAGATTCACGACCCTATGGAAATTACTTTTGATTACTTAAGCATACGTGTATCATAATATTAAACTACAACTATCTCTCTATATGTCTATACATTTGTCTTAAAACCAAAGTGATGTCACAGCAAATTCTCAATTCTAATAACGAATCATGTTCTTAAGTATATATTTATCTACTAATTTAATTAAACCTTTTTCAAACAGCTGAAGTATTCTAATTTTTTTTCATGTAATGTTCAAGAAAGAAGTCAGAAACCTAGCACTTTAGTAATACACAAATTCTTCTATCACAAGGAAAAAAATCTAAAGTTATTTATATTTGTTATCTAGGTTAATATTCAGAGCACATTAAAAGCTAAAACATAAAGTACTTGTTGAGTTAAATTACATACATATATGAAAAATCAACAGAAGATCATATGAAATAACTGTTATGAAAGTCTAGGTTTTTATCCTATAGCCATCCATCTGATACTAGTTTTTAGCAAAAGGAAAGATGATCTGAATGCAGTGATACCATGAGTATTAGTTTAAATATGTTTAAAAAAAAAAGCAGCATATAATTGTCTACACAACTCACGGCAAATCTTAAAGTTGACAGATCAACAGTAAGTACAATGCCATGAGAGAACTGTGGGTTTTAAACCTTGGCTGCCTCAGGCCATGGCAATGGGACAAAGTGGAAGCCTCCACACAGCTGATCTTTACCTCTCCTCTTTTTAATCAGAGAACCACTGCTTTTGAAGCTGAGTCTCATGAGGGCTTATCAGAAACAAGGAAATACTATAGAAATATTATGCTCTTAAGATTTTTCCTCCCATAAAATTAGCTAATGGCTGAGGAATGTAACTAGAACTGGAATATATACTATTAAGGTTTTGTTTACATAATTCAAATGCAATAACTCCAGCAGTATTACTGTATTAAAGTAAATATTTATTTCTAAAATTAATATTTTCAAATCTTAGAGGTCCAGAGAAGACACTATGTCATTGATTCTATCTGAAAAATTCAGCTGAAATTTGCCATAGGTTTCTCTATTTTACTGGCTGGCAAACATGTTACCTCGTCATTCTAAGTCTTACGAAAGTAGCTGAGCCAAAGCACTTTCTCCAACATAAAATATCCGGCTACACAGAGAAGAAACTTTCTAGTACCTACTACCACCATGCAATCTGCCCCACATCCATCAACCTCCCACAGGACTCATTCCACTCAGTGTTAGAAACTGTAAGTGTAGCCTGTTTTCTCGTCCGGTCATCATTCTATTGCTTTCATAAATAGCTATTTTTGCAAATGGTTAATAATTTGTGAGGAAAGCTTTAAAACTTTCTTATTTCTTATACTGAACTTATATTCAGGGTACAGTAAAACTTGGGGCGCCCATAAGATGATATTCAAAAATTTACTGTAATTTTTTTTTTTAGAGACAGGGTTTCACTGTGTTCTCAGTCTGGTTAGCAACTCCTGGCCTCAAGCAATCCTCCTGCTTCAGCTTCTCAAGTAATTGTGATTACAGACATGGGGCACACATCTGGCTCCTAGAGTATTTTTATAATTTAAACAATTATTATTCATAAAATAAGTTTTTGCAAAACTTACCACAATCAATATCTTATCTGATGCAGTTATGGCACAAATTGGATCCCTTGTGCCCTAAAATAAGTTAATCAATCATTACTATTCAACAAACATTTATTGAATAACTAATCTGGTACAAGGTAATATGCAATTCACTAAGCAGTCAATGTTTATTAACTTAACCAACATTTATTTACTGAGCACCTACTATGTGCCAAACACTGAACTAAGCACTAGAGATATTCCGATGAAATCTTTACCCTCAGAGATTACTCAAAAGTCTATTGGGGAAGACAGTGAACTAAACACCTCCTTGCAGGACAGTATGATAAAAGAAGAGGTAGAAACAGAGGTTATGAGAGCACAGAGAAAGGAGTATCTAACTTACACCAAGACAGGCAAAAAGCTGAGCTCAGGCCTAAAAGAGAAACAGACAGCAAAAGGGTCAGCACATATTAAATTGAGGAAATGTAGGAAGGCATTGCACTGCAATAACCTGGACAAGTCTCTAGGGCATTACATTTAGTGAAAAAAGCCAGCCTCAAAAGGTGACATACTATATGATTCTATTCATAAAACATTCTCAAAGTAACAAAACTACAGAGATGGAGAACATATTAGTGATTGCGAGGGGACAAGGATGAGGCTGGGCCCAGCTACTTGGGAGGCTGAGGCAGGAGAATCGCTTGAACCCAGGAGGCGGAGGTTGCAGCGAGCTGAGATCACGCCACTGCACTCCAGCCTGGGCAACAGTGCAAGACTCTGTCTCAGAAAAAAAGAAAAAAGAAAAAGAAAAAGAAAAGAAGAGAAAAAGAAAAAGAAAAAGAAAAAGAAAAGAAAATAGAAAAGAAAAGAAGAGATAAGATCCCTTATGGTGATAAAACTAGATAAACCTACACACACACCTATTAGCACATATAAAAACGGCTGAAAACTGAATAAGCTCATAGTCTAGTTACAGTACTGTGCCAACGTCAGTTTCCTGGTTTTGATACTCTACTGCACGTATATAAGATGTCACCACTGAAGAAAGCTGAGTGATGGGACTCTTTCTGCAATTTTCTATTAGCCTACAATTATTTCAAGATAAAATGTTTTTTATTAAAAATTTAAAAAACCAGTGTGATATATTCAGGAAATCTCAAGTTGTTTGCCACAGCTGGTATCTGAGGAATATGCTGGGAAGTGGGCCAGGGAGGCGGAGTAGTTGTGGCTATTGATACTTTACTCTGAAAAATATGGGGACTTACAGAAAGCTTATAAATGGGGAGGAACTATATGTAACATGATTAGATTTATATTTTAGAAAGGTTGCAATGGTCAGAAGTATGATAAATGGACTGGCATAGTGGGGATGGGGAAAACTGAAAGTAGAGAGACTATTCTGTTCAATATGGTAGCCACTAACCTGATGTCACCATTTAAATGTAAACTTCCATTAATGAGAGTGAAATACAATTTAAAATTCAGTTCTTCAGCTGAACTAGCGATATTTTAAGTACTCAATAGCCACATATGGCTAGTGGCTACTGCACTGGAGAACAAAGATATATAGTATTTCCATTATCACAAGAAGTTCTATTGGGCAGTGCTGGATGGAAATTATTGCAGTGATGTAGGCAGAAACTAATAGCAGACCAAACTGATACAGAGATGGAAAGGGGAAAGCCAATTTGAAAGAAATTTAAGAGACAGAATCAAGATGACTTGATGATTTATTAGACATGGAAAGCAAGAGAAAATGAGTTCTCATGATTCTTGCAGAGATAGTGAAGCCAACCACTGATATATAGAATATATATGGAGAAATGAATTGGGAGGGAAGCTGAGTTCAGCCTCAGACAGATTAAACTTGGGGTGCTTTTGAGCTGCTCAATTTCTTGCTATCCAGACGGCAAGAAATACGTTATTCAGAAATCAAAAAAACTCAACATTGGAAAAATACATATTAGAGTCATTGGCATATGGTTAAAGCGGTGGATTTCAATAAGAACACTAAGAAGAGTGTATTAATAGGTTTTTTTTTTTTTAAAAAAAAAGGGGGGGTAGATGGCTTAGGGCTAGACATTAGGGAACATCACAATAAGTGATGCATAGATGAACCCTTGACAAAGAAGGCTCAGAAGGAAAAGCTAGAGACAAAGCCAGGAGTGTGGTTTCATGAAAGCCAAGAAGAAAAAAGTAGTCATTAAAAATATTAAATGTAATGTGTAGATCAAATAATACAAAGACAGAAAAAGACCTATTGGACTTGGCATTTCAAAGTCTTCTGAAAACCAGAATGCAATGAAGTGCAGATGGAATGCACAGTAGGGGAAAGATGAATACAGAATAATCTTTCAAGAAACTCAGCTATGAAAGGAGGAAGAGAGAATGCCGTAGCTGGAAGAAAATACATGATTGACAATGGAAACTTCTGTTGTTTTTAAGATGGCATCTATTTTAATTGATGTGAGGGTACAGCGGAAAAGCTGGTTGATGATGAATCAATTTCCCAAAAGTTCCCTATCAAAGAGACTGTTTCTTATTCACCAGTAGATTCCCAGTACCTACTCCAATGTCTCACACTTAATAGACATTCAGAAAATACTTAATTAAAAAAATGGACGGATACATAGATGACTAGATGAACTCTTGCATGTTCTAGCAGATACATCACTAGATCTGCTGTAAAAAAATTAAGCTTGAACCCTTGCTTTGTTACTTAATCATTTTATGATCCTGAGTAAATCAGTGAACTTCTCTATCAGTTTTCTAACCTATAAGAGAGGAGATGGCATGCTGCTTGACTTACAGAGTTTTGAGCATCGGATAAGAAATGAGACAACAGTTTTATAAACAATAGGCACTACTTTAAATACTCTGAGAAAACCATTTCAAAAACTATTGACTGAAATAGCAAATTATATTAGTTTCTAAACAAAAGCACATTTTCATAAAGAAACAGTTAACTATCTGCAAAATATGTGCACTCACTAATACGCCAGGGATGACAGATCAATCCATGGTAGATGGACAGATAAAGACACAAACAGATGGGAAGGTGTGAGGAGGGGAGGAGGAGTTATGTTTTCCAATATTTTAGATAATACACTTTTCTAAGTAGTATATTAGCCACTTATCACCATCTACCATCTTTATTTCAGTCCAAGAATTTTTAAGATCTAGGAAAAGGTTTTCAGAAGAGAATTATTTTAAATAATGGCTAAAATAATATCCTATTCACTGGGAACAAATTATTTTTCAGGCTTCAAAATAAAATTATAATATTTCAAATCTACAGATATTAACATTTTCTAGAAAAATTAAAATCACCTACTTGAATGGCTTTACTATAATCAAGCACACCATCCATTGATCCAGAAGGGGTATCATCAACATGATAAATTCTGCAAAAAAGATCAGAATTTCAAAGAAAGTTTAAGTATAATTTATACTATTTCATAATCTCTAGAATAAACGACTAGATAACATCAATTAATACTTTTATTTATATAAAAATTCTGATTATTTTAGAGCATTCTCAACACAGTTAAATCTTAATGAAGATAAAAATTATCTACCAGGTGTTTACTAGTTATACAAATGATATGCTCCTGAAAGCTGTACCAAAAACATATCTGAACATTGAATCATATATTCCCAATGAATTTCATTAAGCCCAGAGAGATATTTTACCTTACGCTCCATATGAACATCAGTGAAGAGTAACATCTAATTCACTAGCTTTCTCTGTTGTTTCTCCATAATTTCTCTTCTATCAGTGTGTTTAATGAAAGTAAACTTAAGTGGATTTAGGAGGTTCTAATTAATGGAACTTCCGCACTGAAGTAAAGAAGCCTTTCCTACCCTTTCCTGTATTAGGAAGAGGTATCACTTCTGGACATCCACTGTCTCTCTAGTACCGGTACCTGTATTATTATTTTTTAAATAAATTTAAGGGGTATAAAAGTACAGTTCTGTTATATGGATATATTGAGTAGTGGTGATGTCTGGGCTTTTAGTGCAACCATGACCCAAGTAATGTACATTGTACACATTAAGTAATTTCTTATCCCTTACCCCCTACAACCCTCCCACCCTTCTGAGTCTCCAATGTCTATTATTCCACATTCTATGTCCATGTGTACACATTATTTAGCTTCCACTGGTGACCTTTGGCAAATAATTTAAGCTCATGTGTCTGTTTCCTCTCTGTAAAACAAGAATAATGAGCACTGATTAGATTTATGAAAGTGTCTCGCACATAAGAAGTACCCAATAAATGTTGGCTGTTATCACCATCATCAACTGTACTTTAGAGATGAGGAAACTGAGTTCTAGGGGGAACCTGCTCAAAGTTATTCAAACCAGCACACATATCCCAGGTAGAAATATAAGGAAATGCTGCCTTCTTGGTTTAAACAAAAGTCAGAATCTCTTTAGCAGACTACAAGCAGACACTCTGGAGAGGATTGACTTTTTGCCCCAACTTTGTCCTAAGATCTATGTTCTCCCACAAGATTGTAGGCCTCTGCTCATTACTGCTACCACGGTAAGTCCTACCAGCATGAGGACTACCACATGCTGCCCTCAAAGAAGCCAAAGGTTCTTTCCATTTGGTCTTCCAGCAACACTGAGAACACAAGATATAACATTTTTCAATGTTTTTTTCCTGCCTCCACATGAATTCGCATACCCAACATACTTTTACTGAGGATCCACCTCCTATCCTAGCACATGAGTGAGTCTTAAAGGGAAGACAAGGGGAGTCTGCATTAAGATCTCAAGGGTGTGAAGGAAGATAATGATTCGAAAAAACACCTAGCATTTCTGTCATGACTCTACCACTCACTTCCGCCAACACAGACCTATGTTCCCATTAAGAATCCTTAGGTTAAAACATTCAACAAAATGCTTTACTTACAGGCTTAGAGTAACAGCAGCAGAACAGCAAACACAGAGTATCACTAATGGAGACAACATAACTTACAAAACACGGTAAATGCTTCTTCAGTTTGAGGGGAATCCCTCTATCCTGGCTTCTAACCTATCTACTATGTGGCAGAGCCCTTTTTACCCCACTTACTAGAAGTAATTCCAACTCCAGACTCCTTGGAAACCAGGGCAAGAAAAAGAAGCTAAGTCCCCAGTTCACCCCACCTAAAGACTTCTTCCATATGTGTGTCTAAAGGCCTGCCTTTCCTCTGGTCACTGATATTAGAATCACCCCACCCTCTTGGGAAGACCTATACCACTAACGTATAGGAATAAAGCCTTAGTTAGATCCTTGGATCTCAAGCAAACAATCATATTTTAGTATAGCATATTAACTCTAATCTGGTGGGAAGGGTGAGTGAGGACAGCCATTTCCTTATAAAAACACAGCCTTCCAATCTTTATCTCTAAGGGCTTTCTTTGATTACACCATGCCACCTCTCTTTATTTTAATAAATTTAAACACATAAATTTTAAAGTTAATCAAATTAATTGAAAAAACATTTCTACTAATCAAGACACTACAGTTATTAAGCATGACAATTTATAATTACTATGTCTGACTTAAATGTGGTATGGTTGAGCTACTAAAAAGTATGTATCAAAAGATATACCTTTCTCTCCCTTCTTTTCGAGACCGTGTGATCTGATTAATTTCCAATGCTGTGAGCTTCTTTGCCACACGATATTGCCAGGTATAAAATGCTTCTTTCGAGGCTGCTATCACATGGGTTTTTGTCATTGCAACAAACAGTGGTACTGTTAAAAATAACATTAAGATAATTTACAGTTATACAGAATTGCAAAATGTTTGTGCTGCAAAGGCCTTTAGCAATCACAGAGTTCAACGCCTTATTTTACAGGCAATATACCCCCACATAGTCTCAAAATACCCACACACGGTCTCTGAAATCAGAAAAGAATCAAAAGCTTGTAGAATCATACAAAAATACTAACTCAAAATAAATCAAAGACTCAATTGCAAGAGCTAAAACCATAAACACTAAAAAGAAAACTTGGGAGTACATCTTTATGACCTTTGGTCAGGCAATAATTGGCTTCTTAGATATGACACCAAAAACACAAATGACAAGAGAAAAATTAGACAAATTGGAGTTCATTAAAATTAAAAATATTTGTGCTTCAAGGGACACTATCAAGAAAGAAAAGAAAAATCTCCCAAGTCCCTTCCTAAGGAATATATTCTTCTAAACAAGTAATTTTTAATATTCCTAATATGTATTGGAAATATATTCTCCCAAGCAAATAGTTCTTTTCATCTGCCCCATTTCTTAGAGAATATTTAATTGAACTCCTACTGTATATCCTTTTATGAAGTAGATAGTCTCATCAAATCCATCTTATAGATAAATAAACAGAGGTTTAAAGAAGTAGAACAACTTGCCCAAGGTCACAAAACACAAAATAAACAACATAAAATTAAACACTCATACAAAATACATAAAAGCAAAAAACTCCTTCAAAAACAGATTATACTGTTTTCTGAATTCATGAACAATCAAAACAGTGTAAAACTTAATTTTTCTATTATAAATACTATGCAATGTAATCATTAATATGGCCGGAATAAAGACATAATGTTACTAGGAGGTACCATTTATAGAATTCTTGCCAGAGTGCAGACAAAGGGCATGTGAGGCAGCAAGAGACTTAGAAACTGAACAAAGAATTAGAAACTAGTCTGATAGTTTGATGTTAACTGAGTGTGTTAACAACTCAGGGATTCAAATTCAATAATTTTTATATGCTAAATAACTCAGTCCAACTGAGTAATTTTTTTAAAAATTCTTTTTTCACTGTAACTGTCAAGATGTTTTCATTCAAAATACTATTACCAACCTCTGGAGGGAGCTCAAAGCCTTTCTTGGAAGGAGCACTTTGCTGAAAGCCATGCATGGAGAATGACAGCAAAGCCTCCAGAGTGTGCTCCTGCCAGGTCAGGCTGCACTCTCCTTTCCCTGACCTGGTCTGCACTAAATCTTAAGACATTTGTTAAATATTCAGTAAATTCCACTATGGATACTCGAATGCTGGTAACTATTACGCCCTTACTGTAATTTGAAGCAAGTTTGTATACCTTAACTGCTTTCTAATAAAATATCATGTTTTCCTAAGTATGTAAAAGCATTCTTCCAACCAATGTTTACCTACAATTATAAATTACACTCATGTTCCTTTCTTTTTGATAGAACCTAAATACTCACAAGGGTTTATCATTAGCCTGACTACTTCAAAATTAAAATGTTAGTGGTTCAAGGTAAGAGTCAGACTTCTTGGATTCAAATGACAGGCACTTGCTAATTCTGTGGTCTTGAATAAATTATTTGTTCTCTCTGAACGTCAGTTTACTTACTGTAAGTTGCAGATAATAATAATGCCAACCCTACAGAGCTGTTTTAAAATTTAAGAGAGATAACAATATAAATATCATATAAACATATAGCATAGCACAGAGCCTGGCATCGAGTAAATGCTTAATAATACTTTTAAAAGACAGTATGTATTGAATGTTTAAAAATATATGACAGGCAGTGTTCTAAATATATAACATATATTAACTCACAACTTCCCTATAAGGTAAGCATTATTATCCTCATTTAGCAGATAAAGAAACTGAGGAATGTGAATTTGCCCATATCACACAGCTAGAAAGTAGTAGAGCTGGACACAAACCTGGTCAATCTGGCTCCAGAAACTGCTCTTAACTACTAGAGCAGACTGACCCTCACTAAGGATTAAGAAGTATTAGTTAGACATGGTTGCTATTATTCTTTTCATTTTTATCACCTACATAGGATTTTATAATAAAACTATATATAAATTCTCAGTTACTACAAAAAATACAAACATATCTGAAAAATGTGTTCTTTTGAATCAGTAAGTTGGTGATTTCAGCAAATTCATATGGGTAGATAATCCTATCTATATATATTTTGCTAGATCTTTATTAAGATTCATCCCACCTAGACTAAGCTTCTACGAAAAGCAAAACAAAATTGTAACAGATACACTGTTTTAGGACAAGAACACAGCCTAGATGAAAGCCCTCCATGCCCTTTTCGACTGTTCAATATCTGAAAAGAAAAAAATTTGAAATATCTAGAAAGGTTATTGGATTTTTTTTTTTTTTTTTTTTTGAGGCGGGTTCTCGCTGTGTCATCCAGGCTGGAGTGCAGTGGCACGATCTTGGCTCAGTGCAACGTCTGCCTCCTGGGTTCAAGAGATTGTCCTGCCTCAGCCTCTCGAGTAGCTGGGATTACAGGTGCATGCCACCACGTCTGGCTAATTTTTGTATTTTTAGTAGAGATGGGGTTTTGCCATGTTGGCCAGGCTGGTCTCGAACTCCTGACCTCAGGTGATCTACCCGTCTCAGCCTCCCAAAGTGCTGGGATTACAGGAGTGAGCCACCGTGCCCAGCTTGGAAAAAAAGTTTTTAAGAAAATAATTATGCTTTCATTAACTGAACTTTGTAATGCTAATAGGCAGTCATTACTAGCCAAGCAAGAATGTAAAATAATTTAAAACAATCTTGGAATTCACATATAAATAAAACCTGCTTGTAATATTTTAATGCTAAGGCCTGAAATAAATGCCGACATCTGTAATGTTCACCCACTTTCCCATTTATTCATTTCTCAGTCCTTTCAAGTGCCGGTAAATTGAAATTTCACTGAAATGTTTTCATCAAATTAACTCTCTCTGAAATATATGAAAAACCTAGTGCACATGTTAGATACCATCACTAGAAAGTTGCCCATGTGCTCCCACTAAAACGGCTGCAGCATAGGCAAACGGGTACTTGATGGCCACTTTCCATGCCTTCATTCCTCTGCAAATGCCATTTTCTTTCCTTGAAATGTCACCTAAAGAAATACTTATTTTTCGAATTTCAGCTCAAATGAAATCTTCTCTAAGTAGAAAGATGTCTCTGACATCCTTATACACCAATAACCATTTGCCTGGCACCTAGGGCAATACCTAGCACGCAGTAGGGAAGCAGTAAATCACTGTTCAATGAATTAACTAGGTTAATTATTTGTTCAGAAATCCCACAGGAAATGTCATAATTAATTTCTTATTATTCCCAGTGACCAGTAGTACCTGAAACAGTGTATACTCATTGATAGTTTGCTAAATAAATGAATCATCATTTTTTATTTACATGATAGAAAATTTCCATGCATTCAATAAACATTTATTATGGGCCAAGGCAGTGTTAGGTCATGGGGATACAGAAGTTAATTACACATAGATCTTTAAAAAGTTCAAAGTCTAGTGGGGAAGATAGATAAGAAAATTAATAAGCACGGTGCAGGTTAAGAGGTATTTTGGATGGAAGCACACCAAAGGTATTATGAGTGCTCAAGAAAAGAGCACCAAAAAAGGATACCTAACTCTCATGTGTAGAGTATAACAGAGTACCACAAACTACACTTCTATAACAATCTATAAAGTTCTTTTTTAAAGTTTCTACAAAAATTGTAAAGAGGAAGAGTAGATGGTAAAAGAAAAATAATAAATCCTAAATTCTAGAAGAGTAGCACTCATATATTTTTTTTGTTTTAGCCTTCAGTCCTCATAAACATTTAGCATAGAAACTTTAAAAAGGAATTTTACAGGATATGTATGAAACAAAAATGTTGAGTCTTTGGCTGTGTTCGCTGCAGGCCAATGAAAGAACAGTTTGTTAAAATCTCAGCCAGCGAGACTACAAAAAAAAAAAGTTTTGAGACTCAGAAATACAAATAATCGTGCCCTCAAGTATTTGCCATTTTATGAAGAAGGATTTACATTTGCTTTATTTTAAAAAACAGTCTACCTGTGATAAAAATTACTTTGAGATTAACCCTATCACCATTATGATTCTATGTTAAAACTTTAGATATTAAAAGAAAAAGCATATAATCTGAAGACTGACAAAATTTACCTCTTAAAGACTGTTATGCTTCTAGTAAACAAGAGATATTTATGTGAAGAGAGTCTGTAATAATTTTAAGCTAAGCTTTTTAACAAGGAACATTAATGTGTATATATATGTGTGTATATAAACATATACATATATAAAACATATAAACATGTCTATGTAGCAATGAATGTAAGACACGAAGTTGAAATGTGTCAATATATCTAAGTGAGTAGGTTATCAAGACCCTATAAAGTCTTTGAGGTCATTATTTCTCATATTTGCTTTTATCACCCAAAGAGCTTAGCAAAATGCAAACACTCAAAAGGCAACAGGCATTAATATTTAATTGCTTAGGCTAAATGTCCAATCTGAAAAAAAATGACTAGTTCTCAGGTTCTCAGGAATAATGCAATGGGTTTTTAATTTCTTAGATTTAATAATTTTTGCAATACTGTATCCAATATACTACCATACACATTAAAAGAAAATCATTACTTTTGGAAGTTACAGTGAAATGGCAACAAAATACTTGTTAATGATTTTTAATAATCTACTTAGAATAAGATTTGGAATTTTTAATGGGTTACTTTTATAGTTATTGGGTAGAGGGAATAGTAAATCTAAAGTAACAAATGTCCTTTGAAAACAAAGAGTCAGGAATTTTTTAAACTGTCCCTATTAATAGACTCATTTCATTAGAAAAATCTGGAAAGGGCAAACTCACTTTTACAAGCAGCTAAAGTGTTTTTATGGAAGAGAGGTATTTACAAGCAGTTTATTAATAATAAAAGTGGTTTAATAGCAAAATTCTTTCTATAATCCTGTTTATTACATACTAATCATTACACTGCATACCAATTCCTACACAATTATATTTCCCATTTAAAGCGAATGATGGTACCATAGCAGTTGTGAAATTATAGTGGATTTTAGATAGAGTAACCTTATAATTTACTGTCTTAACCAGGATGCTTTTGAGAGCAAAATGGGGTATTAAGAATTCTATCATGGTAACAGATATAAACTGGTACTGGATCTGACAAAGTAGGAAGTACGGTCTTCCTCGTTTTAGAAAACACCATTCTAATTAATAATACCAGTGTTAGGTTTTTAAATTAGTGTTACAAATAAAATCTGATTGGAAAAGAAATAAATATTAACATTTCCTTACCAATATCAATGTATTTGGGATCCAAGGGAGTACCAATAGAATTACAAAGAACTAGCACAAACTGTGAACAAATAAAACAAAAAGTATCAGATCTCCTGCTTATGAATAATAAAGGAAATGTGCTTAATATAATCATGCTTATCTCTTTTTCAAATATTGTTAACTGGGAAATAACTGATGAAACTGTTAGGTACAAAAAATAGCAGACAAAAAGAAAAATGATTTACAGCATTAAAGATCAATTAATACAAAACCAAGGCTGCTTTCTCAATGTAATGGAGTAAATGGTTTTCAAGAAGACACAAGAAACACAAGTACTCTGGCTATTTTTCAACATTTATACAAGCGGTCTTCAAAAAGTTTATGGGAAATGTGTATTATGAAAAAATATGCATGGATTTAAAAATTGTTTGCATCAAAATAAACGTGTACTAACTTGTTAAAACATGTCTGAACAGGATCTAGTTTGAAGCACTAAGAAGGAGATGGTAGCAGTTTGAAAAAAAGCCCTGTCAAAGCAACATTAATTCTGCTAAAATTGAAGCAAGAAAAAACATCAAATTTATGGTGCAGCTTGGGTGGAAGAATGGTGAAATCATCAATCCTTTATGAAAAGCTTATGGGGACAATGCCCCAAAGAAATCAGCAGTTTACAAATGGACAACTCATATTCCAAAGGGACAAGACAAAGTAAAGATGAAACCTGCAACAGCAGACCATCCATGTCAATTTGCAAGGAAAAAATTAATCTCATCTTGTTTCTGCCCTAATTGAAGAGGACTAACAATTAACAGCAGAAACAATAGTCAACACCATAGACATCTCAATTGGTTCAGTTCACACAATTCTGACTAAAAAATTTAAGTTAAGCCAACTTCCCACTCAATGGGTGCCAAATCGGTTGCACCCAGATCAGCTGCACACAGGAGCAGAGCAGTCAACAGAAATTTCACACAGGTGGTATCAAGAACCTGAGGAATTTCTTCAAAAATTGCAACAGGAGATGAAACATGGCTTTACCTGTATGATCCTGAATGCAAGGCACAATCAAAACAATGGTTACCAAGAGGTGGAAATGGTCCAGTCAAAGCAAAAGCAGACTGCCAAGAGCAAAGGTCATGGCGACAGTTTTCGGGGATGCTCAAGGCATTTTGCTTGTTGACTTTCTGAAGGGCCAAAGGACAATAATGTCCACTTATTATGAGAATGTCTTGAGAAAGTTAGCCAAAGCTTTAGCAGAAAAATGCCTGGGAAAACTTCACCAGAGTCTCTCCCCAGCATGACAATGCTCCTGCTCATTCTATTCATCAAACAAGGGCAATTTTGCAAGAGTTTCAGCGGGAAATCATTAGGCATCCACTTTACAGTACTGATTTGGCTTCAGGCTTCCTTTTGTTTCCTAATCTTAAAAAATCCTTAAAGGGTACCCATTTATCTTTAGTTAATAATGTAAAAAAGACTGCATTAACATGGTTAAATTCCTAGGACCCTCAGTTCTTTAGGGATGGACTATAATATCTGGTATCATTGCTTACAAAAATGTCTTGACCTTGATGGAGCTTATGTTGAAAAATAAAGTTTCTATTTTTATCTGTTAATTACATTTTTCCATGAACTTTCTGAAGTCCCCTCATATTTCTAAAGTTTCTGATCAGCTATAACCTCAAAACTCATTTTTATCCTATGATCAGTTATATAAGAGCTAATTTCATTTGTTACCGTTGCACCAAATGTCTCCATCTCGTTCTCCTCCTTGGAAGCAATATGTAAATGACATGAGAAATTCAGAAAAATTCAGTTAACTCAAAAAAGACATGATTCAACCTAATGAAAATGGCTTATAGACAAGTAATCATCAATGACCAATATTAGGAAAATAATCAAGCATAATGCACATTTTACATCATATTGTTTTAAAGTGATCATTTCCTTTTTCTTACTGTTAGTCTCTGTTTCTGTATCTTGTACTAAGAATATTATTCTACTTAGATGTTTTTCCTGACTAGAACAATTTCAAATAAACCAGTTCTTTATGCACTATTAACTCAGACTTTCTTTTTTCAGCATTCGATTAAAATTTGTTTAATTACTCAAAATATCTCAGGTACCCCATAGACAATATACATCTACTATTACCCATAACATTTTTTAAAAACTAAAAAGAACTCACTGAATTAATTTCATAAATATAAACCAAATAATAAAAATTATATTTTAAAAAATCATAATTTACTCTTCTACTACTTAAAATAAGCTTATTTACTGTCACAAAATACCACAAATAAATTGCATTTTTAAAATATATGTTTCATTTTTATCAGTTATACATGCTAGTAGTTTCAAAAATCAAATAGATCCACAAGGCTTCTTACTAAAAAATGGCAGTTTCCCCTAAGTTCACATTTCCTGCTCCCTTTACCGATCCTTTTGCTATTACCTCCACAAATCTAAGTAACGTGTTTACACTGCTACTTGTTTTATTTCAATTTAGTCCATTAGCTCTTGCCTCCCCACTACAAATGACAAGTCTTTAGCTTCCTTTCATTCCCTTTTCCACTCCATCCCTTCCACACAGGGGCACATTTCCATCCCTCTCTCTATTTTTAATGCCATTTTGTCAGATCAAAATTTAGGGTTGAGTATGTTTATTATACTTCAGTTAAAAGGTGTTTTAAGTTTTAAAAGGGTGATTACATCATTTTGACTATGTAAATGCTATTCACAACTCAGTCGTCAAGTATATCATGATTTATTTTCTTTTCAAGCATATTCTTTCTCTGTAGTTGATAATTGTATTTTTTCTCTTTGATTAGTCTTCTAGGGGCTTATTACTAACGCAAATCCCCAGTAATCCCTGAATTATGTATATCTTGCTGCAAGGGCTCAAACATATCAGGTAGTCTATTAATGTCATCCCCCTGAATTTCTCTTGGAGCCTTCTGACCTTCTGTCATCTGACTCACTGGACATGCTGCACCACGGTCAGCTGGTACACTCTTCCTCACTGGTGTCCACTCTACTGTTTCTTCTGCTTTCTTGGTTTATTCCTCATTTTGTTAGACTATTTCCTAAAGTAACTTCCTAAGATAGGGAAGCTTGGAAGGGAAATTTTTAGTGAGTTACACATCTAAAAATGTCTGTATTCCACTTATTTATTTATTTATTTACTTACTTTGAGACAAAGTATCACTCTGTCGCCCAGGCTGGAGTGCAGTAGTGTGATTTCGGCCCACTGCAACCTCCGCCTCCTGGGTTCAAGCAGTTCTCCTGCTTCAACCTCCTGAGTAGCTGGGACTACAGGCGCACGCTGCCATGCCTGGCTATTTTTTCTATTTTAGTAGAGATGGGGTTTCACCGTGTTGCCCAGGCTGGTCTCGAACTCCTGAGCTCAGGCAATCCACCCACCTTGGCCTCCCAAAGTGGCCTGTTCACTCTTTTTAGAAATATTGTTGAAATGCTAAGCTTCCGGGACTGGTCCTCTAATTTTATCCTTTCACTCCTATTTTCCATTTCCTTGTCCTTTTGTTTCACTTTACAGGTGTTTTCCTTCATTTTACCTTCTAATCCTCCAGCCAAAGTTTTCATTATGGTCATCATACTTTTAGTTTCCAAAAACTTCCTCTTCTATAGTATCCTTTTCTTATTTGATGGATGTAATATCTCTTAACTCTGTGAAGGTAATACTGATGGTTCTTTCGAAACAATTTTTTTTCTTTTGAGATAGAGTCTCACTTTCGCCCAGGTTGGAGTGCAATGGCACGATCCTGGCTCACTGCAACCTCCGCCTCCCGGGTTCAAGCAATTCTCCTGCCTCAGCCTCCTGAGTAGCTGGGATTACAGGCGTGTGCCACCATGCCCAGCTAATTTTGTAAATTTAGTAGAGACAGGGTTTCACCATGTTAGCCAGGCTGATCTCGAACTCCTGACCTCAGGTAATCCGCCCGCCTCGATCTCTCAAAGTGCTGGGATTATAGGCGTGAGCCATCACGCCTAGCCCCAAAATAATGTTTTTCAGACGTGTCCTTCCTGCATAGTCTTTGCTTCTTCCAAGTTCATTTCTACTTGTGTTTAGCTGCCTTTCTCAAATGTCTGGTAATCCTTGTCTAACTGCTTATATTTAAGAGTCAGACATTGAAACGCTGTTTGGAACAGAGTTGTCTATAAGTGAGCCTCACTGACTGGTGTCTTTACTGTAAGGTGATGTAAGGTGATGGGCAGGGCTACTTCCTTGGGGACTCCCGATCTCAGTATCTTTAGAAGGCTTTTCTCTTGAACAGGTCGAGTTCTCTTGAGAAGACTTCCCACCTCAAAGCTCAATGCTTGGCTGCCAGTGTTCTGGGAACCAAGTAGGAAAAGAAGACTGGGGTCATGTTGAATAGGAAACTTTTAATGTAATTGTCCTGTTTTCAGCAGAGTTCCCCCATCCTCAGCTCTGCTTGATGCTCTTCAGCGCAGACTCTTTGATCCTCTCTGGAGAGTAAACCCCAGTTGTTGCAGGTGGCAGAAGGGCAGCTGCCTATGGACTCAGTATAGGGGAGTGGGATCTCCTTCTTCTTATGTTTTTTTAAAAAGTTTTCTCTTTTCTGCATAATCTCTGGTACTTCCAAATTGCTTTTATGCTTGTTTCTTTTTCCTACCAGGTACCCCCAAGTCCTGTGCCTCTTTGTGATCTCGTGATGTAAGCCAGTTGCCTCTGTTTTCTCCCTGAATGGCTTATGATTCAGCTTTCTTAGGTCTGCTAAGGTAATTACCGCTAATCCACCTACTCTAACCTACAAAATGTTGTTGCCATTTCCTTTCCCTTTCTGGTCCCTATGGGCTTATGACTTTTTAAGAAACATCTTTACTGTCATTTAGCAAGTTTCAGGAGAGAACACCATCAAACATGGCTGTTCAAAGAGTCACCTTTAAGAAAAAACTCTCGGCCGGGCGCGGTGGCTCAAGCCTGTAATCCCAGCACTTTGGGAGGCCGAGACGGGCGGATCACGAGGTCAGGAGATCGAGACCATCCTGGCTAACACGGTGAAACCCCGTCTCTACTAAAAATACAAGAAAATTAGCCGGGCGAGGTGGCGGGCGCCTGTAGTTCCAGCTACTCGGGAGGCTGAGGCAGGAGAATGGCGTAAACCCGGGGGGGCGGAGCTTGCAGTGAGCCGAGATCGCGCCACTGCACTCCAGCCTGGGGCACAGAGCAAGACTCCGTCTCAAAAAAAAAAAAAAAAAAAAGAAAAAACTCTTTACTTTTTAACGGAATAAAATAATTGATAACACAGCTAAAGACATCGGTAGTCCTTTTCAGAAATATTAACATACTTCTGCAAATATTTAAGTTGTTAGTATACTTTTTTAAAAGACATACTTATATTATTTATGTTATGCTATGATATATTAATTTTTAAAGCAATATAACTCCAAATAAAAGTAGACTTCTCAATGTCAAAAGCTACCCAAACTGTCATAAGTGTTCATTGCTGCATAATTTCTTCAGCATTTATGCATAGTAGACATCTGGATGTTCATTTTTGCTCATGAAATTTTAACTTGAAAAAGGACTGTGGTATTTTAAATATATTTCAGAAACAAAAAGCTTCAGTATTGAACCAGTCAGTATGAATTGCCGTGTGATTAGCTGCTTGAAGAAAAAAAAATCAGGGACACGGCATCAGTGGAGTCACAGAGTTTTCCAAAATTGGTCTAGACCAATATGGCCAACAGACCCAATGTTTTGATGTACTTGCCAGTGTAGAGGCCATGCTTGAGAAGGTAGAAAAATATAACCCAATTCTGCCAAGCAGTTAGCCCATCTATGTCTTAAGATATCAAGAAACACCTACCTGAGGATGATTTTCATCAGCTTTTGTAGCCAAAATGCAGAAATCGCCACAGGTAGTAATAGAAATGAGACCCTTCACATATTTAACATGTTTTTCATTGTTTTTTGTATCCCAGAAGACAACACAGTGCTCTGGACGATCAGGTCTGGTATACGCATAAACCACAGTATTTGAGCAATAACTCCACTAGGAAGAAAGGAAGGAGGAAAGGGAAGCAGTTTGAAAGGCAGAAGAATTATTTAGCATTAGGAAGGAAAATCGTATTATTTTATTTTTACTCTCGAAATATTGCAGATATTTATCACTGCTGACAAAATATATTCTTCAGAAATAGAAGACAGATTCAACCTTTTATAAAAATAATAGACATTTATAAAACAAAGAATGTACTGCAAATATAAATTTAGTTTGTCTAACTTTCCTTATTTTAATTGGTAAGATTTAAGATTCAATGGTAAAAAAATTTTCAATTATCAATAATAGCTGCTGGAGAGGGGACAACAGGTAGCATGATCCCTGTCAAAGTTTCAGTTCTGGATCTCCAAGTCAAAATTCAAAAATAGTCACTTTGCCTTTTTACCCCATCCATATTTTTTATATTTGCTTTTATCAGAGTAATATATTCACATAATATATGGTCAAATAATCCTACCTGGCTTATTTAAAACAAAAACAAATGCAGAACCCCCTGCCAAATTTCCTGTCTGGAATGGCCGTGTACAACTTCTTTAACTGCAACTGTTCTGGTATTCATTTCTGAATCACATTATCTATTGATTATGGAACTTACACACTTACAGCTTTCCCTTCTAATCCTCCCAACATGTTTATATTTAATTTTAAATTAAAAAATGAAAATATATAAATTATATTAAAAATATAAAAAATAAAATAATATGTTGATATTACCATGATTGTGTCTACCATTCAAACTAAGCTAAACCATGTTTAGCTTTTTGTATCCTGATTACTTTCTAAAATACATTTTTACTTTAAAATAGTTTTAGATAGAAAAGTTGCAAAGATAGCACAGAGTTCCCATATGCCCCTCATCCATTTCCCTTATTGTTAACATTTTACATTACCGTGGTGTATTTGTCACAACTAGGAAATCAACATCACTATTACCTATATTACTATTACTATTAAGTAAACATCATACTTTATTTAGATTTCATTAGCTTTTCCCGAATGTCCTTTTACTATTCCAGAATCCCATTTGGGATACTTAGATTTAGTCATGTCACCTTAGGCTCCTCTGGGGTGTGACAATTTCTCAGTCTTTCCTTGTTTTTAATGATCTCAACAGTTTTGAGGAGTACTGGTCAAGTATTTTGTAGACTGTCCCTCAATTTGGGTTTGTCTGATGTTTTTCTCATGCTTAGACTGGACTTCAGGTTTTTAGGAAGACCAGCACAGAACTGAAGTGCACTTCTTTATCATGCCATATCAGGGGGTATGTGATATCCACATGGCATTCCTAATGATGTTAACCTTTATCACTTGGCCAAGGTTGGATTGCCAAGTTTCACCAATATAAAGCTACTTTATTTTTTTCCCCTCTCCATACCCTACTCTTTGGAAACTAAGTGTAGCCACACTCAAGCCAGGGGAACAGGGGACTATGTTCCACCTCCTGGAGAAGGCAATACCTAAGTAAACTGGAATAATTCTGTAAGGAAGATTTGTTTCTTCTCTCCCATTTATTTATTTATTCAAATAATCCATCTATATCAGCATCAACTCTTGGGCATTTATACTTTGGGTCACAATAAAATAATACATCATTTATTTGATTCTTCAAAGTGCTCCAGCTTTGGCCATTGGGAGGCTCTTTCATGTTCTTTTGACATTCCCCCATCCTTTTGTTGTCTGAGCACTTCCTTACTTGCTGGGACTATAAACTGTTTCAGGCTTACCTTGTATTTTCCCTGCCCTAGTCCTAGAATCAGCCATTTCTCTAAGGTCCTTTACCTTTTAAAAATTAAATATAGAAGATTTTTATAACAAATAGTTTACCAGATCAGTCTCATATTTGAGAGCTTGCTTTTGGATCAAATGTTAAACTCAAGATAAAATACTGATTATATATTACGTTGCTTATTCTCATTTTCTCCTTCTAATCCATTCTCTGCCCTTCTCTACCCTGCTGTGAGCCTTGAAGCCTAGTTTCTATAAACTCCATCACCTGGGCTACCTGGCCATCTGGCTCCCAGTTGGGTTTTGCCAATAGAAAGCACCAGCAAGTGGAGAGGTGAGTTGGAATATTTATTCCCCAAATCCCTCTCTGCCTGGCCGGTTGGCAGGGTCTGGGCTCCTGCAGAGCAGCCCCTCTTGCACAGCCACAGCTCTTGTGGGTTCCAGGAGCCTGACTCCCTTGTTTTGCCCCTTCAGGCCCAGAGCTGGTGATGGCTTCTCATTGATGCTAATCTTTGGGTGCTACTTTGTATCATCCCTTGCTGTTCCCCTTAGCCCTGCCCATATCTCTGTAATAAGCCTTTCATCAGTCTCTCTTCAATTACTCCCTTGAGTATACCATCTGTTTCTGGCTATTACTAACTATATATAGTATTCTCGAAAAGTTTACTAGGTCTAAGGTCTTTACACAAAAAGGCTTCCTTTCTGCTAGCTCCGAAAACAAGACAGCTTTGAATACACTTTGAGCGATAGCAAAATTATTTGGTAAGAAACACTGTTTATTTTACAACTGCTCTTAATATTTACCTTATAATTAGGTCGAATGTTTGCAAAATATATAAAGGAATCAACAGCTAGTGCAATTTTCAGTCCACCTCCTTCCCAAGATAGTGCAGATATTTCCTTCCCAGGAACTTTCAAAGTACCCAGATGCTGAAAAAGAAAGTTATCTTTAACCTAAAGTATAACAATTAAATACAAATTACCACCAATCACTTCATAGAGGTCAAAAGTGGTATGAACATTATTTTGTGAAAAGTTACTACTCACTTTAAAATCATGTTTCTTGAATTTTTATAATGAAAAACATGCATATAAGAAAAACTTACAAACTATATCCAAAGAATTCAATAGCAAATTTCATCAAATCTAAAATGCCATAGACTGAAACATGCATTTTTATGTACAACTAAGCAAAGGAAAAAACACATTGCTAATTAAAATATAGCAACTTTGACTATAAGATGCCTCCTCATTTTAGAGTTGTAAAAAATTATATTTCTTAGAATCAATGAAATATTATATTAGCAAATTCAATCATAAAGTCTTGCCTTTCTCTTTCATCCCCTCACACCCAACTAGTCACCAAATCCTACTGCTTTTACTCCTTTCCACTCTCTATAATTACCTTTTTAATGGATTGAATTGTGGTAATAGCTTCCTAACTTTAAGTCTTACCTTTCATCTGTTTCCTTATTCTCCCCCTCTGCCCTCCCAATTCAATCTCTACTCTGCTGTCACAACTATCTTTCTGGAACACAGATCTAATCATAACTTACCCCGCTTTTTAAAAGGTTTAATAACTTTTAAAAATCAGTAACTCCCCACCATCACATTCTTTAGCATGGCATATAATGCCTTTTTCCCATCTTATCCGAAACCATAGTATGTGGCTTAATATCCCACTATTTAGCCATAACTGCTGTGTGCCTGCTCATGAAGGAACTACTCTGCCTCCACACCTTTGGCCTATACAATATCCCTTCTGCCTGAAATCCCCCTCTCCTTTCCTCACAGCTCCCCTGTCCTTACTGGTCCTTGTCCTCCTGGAGCACACCTATACAGCTCAAATACTGCTTCCTCAATGAGTCCTGCCTTCTCCGACTCTATGGTTCTAGAGAATTAGAGAATGTGCTCCTTAAGAGTACTAACTGCATCATATTCACATTTATTTCCCTTTCCATTAATAGATTATTTGATAAACTGATAGTCAATATATATCTCCAATAAATATACATTCAAATTAATTTTTTCATATACTAATAGTACTTCTTATGACCAAATTAACGAGTGAATAAATGAATACAAACATGTTTTAATGTGGCTATAAAACAACCAAACATTTTTAATCTATACGTTTCATTTGACAGAATGATACAATCCCAAAATTTCAATGAACTTTGCTGGTATCCCTTGTTCTAAGCAGATATCCTCTAGGGTCAAATTTAATGTTACTATAGTTTGAATGTCTGCCCTCTCCAAAACTCAGGTTGAAATTAATTGCCATTTTGACAGTATTGAGAGATGAGACCTTTAGGCAGTGATCAGTGCCTGAGGCCTTCATGGCTGGGACTACTGCCATTTCACAAAGGGGAATTAGGTCCCCTCTTGTCTCTCTGTTGCACTCTCTTTGCCCTTCTTCCTTCCACCATGCAATGATGCAGCAGGAAAGCCTCACCAGATGTCAGCAGCTCAATACTGGACTTCTCATCCTCCAGAACTGTAAGCCAATAAGTTTCTATTAATATACACTATGCAGTCTGTGGTATTCTGCCATAGCAGCACATAATAGAGTAAGACAAATGTATTGAGCTCCATTTTGCCAAGGAAACTAATGGAAGAAAAAACCCAGTTTTAACCTAGGAGGGTCTGATCTATCTGTCTTGCTACCTGTATGAAATTAAAGGGGAACCAGCAAGCTCTCTACAGTACTCTTGGTATTGATCCATCCATAAGAGGAGGAGAATACGGCCATCTTCTAACTACAAACCAGCCAGGATGTGGCAGTAGCAAGGAAAGAAAACCACCTTTTAGTAAGCCTTCATTACGTGCCAGGCACCGTGTAGGCATTTCCTCATTGTAATCTCCTTTAATCTTTACAACAGCACCATGACATATTTCCTTTATTTCTGAAAATAACTAAACTATGTCTCAGAGGCTAAATAACTTCTCTATGTCAAAACTACACTGTAGAAAATGAATTCAATGCCAGATCAACTTGACTACAAACCCTATGTTCTGTTATCTCCTACCATGGTTAAGACCACAGTGCAAAAACCAGGAGCCCCTGGCCCTCAGAATTTAAAAGCAAGTTCTTCTCTGAGGTTTCCTTAAGTTTAAATCGTTAAGTTTAAATTGTTAGATAACTTCCATCCAGGTTATCTTTCCTACCTTAACAATAACACAGATCCAAATAATTCCCCATATATTCACTCACTCAGAAAATACTGACTCCTATGCCCTGAGGAACTATGCTAGATACTTTTAGTTACAGCTAGACCAAAACCCACTTACAGTTTTCAGTTTAACACTTAACACATTGTTTTGCAAGATAAAAAAATAGACTTTAGAACCCATGTTTTTCTACCTGGGGAAGGCTGAACTAACAAAAATAAGCAGATAAAACATGATGATAAATAAGTAAATGGCAATCAACAAAAATAACCAATAAAGAACATTAATTAAGAAGGAGGTTATAAATATAGAAATAATTAGAATGCAGCTTTTTAATTATCTAGGAACCTTGAAAACTATGCTTTATTTTTTCCCTTCACTTTTACATCCACCACCAGAAATATTGTCGTTTGACAATGTATAGAAAGCATCTACTTTCTACAGTATATTCTACTGGGTAACTTTGAGATACTGATTCAAAAGCATCAGAAGACATCATTTCTTGCCCTAAAAGAAATTATTAAAATACACAAAAATAATATTAAAACAACTGGTACAGGCTTTTATGCAGCCAAAAATACATATCACTGTAGTCTATGGTGAATTTATAAAAGCCAACAGGGTATCCAAAAGGGACAAAATATAGTATTGGGTTAGAAAATAAGATATTCAAAAAATGTATTAAGCTTAGTTATTAATAAGCTCTCACTTTCTAAATTATTTAAAATTTACGATATATTAATTCTCCTACTTGACATTTTCCAATGCTACTTCTGAAAATTCTCTTTTAAAATTAAATTTATTAAAAATACTATTGAGAAGGATAATACCCATATGTACATTTATGAAAACAATGCTTGTATTTTAATGTAGCATCACTTAAGATTAATTATTAAATTTTCTTCAAATAATTGATTACTTTGCAACAAATTAAAAGTATTAGAAGTTTGGAGGAAGGACAGACAGATACGTATGTTTAACATCTAAACACACGTAAAATATCACATTAAAAATCAGAAAAATTAATCTGAAACAACTATATTACACTAAATACTACTCAGAAGCTGGTCATGAAACGAGACACATATTCGGATCACAGAGAATTCAAAATAACTACTCCACGGTGATTTCTTATGTCAAACTTCTCGTTTTCTGAATGTATAAAATTGTAACTTTTATTTTACAATTATAAAACTTTAAGATTATAAAATTCCATGATAAAATACAACAAAGATTTATACTATGAAGATGAAATGGCCCTAAAAGAAATTACACCATTTCCTTTATTCTTTTTTCCCCTACCTTACTCACTGCACATTTAAATAGAAAGAAAGAAGAACAAATTTGAATGCATTTACCTCACCAAACGGAGTGTAAAACTGCACAATGTTCACATCTTTGTCCTGCGCGGCCGCCTTCTGGAAGCCCGCCACAGCTAACACACTGCCCATGTGGTTCCACTGGATGCCTACTACGTACATGCCAGTGTCAATCAAAACGGGATCTAGTCAAAAAGAGAAAAATGAGGTCACTGTGGGAAAATACGTAGCCTGCAGAATGTTATACTCTTAACAACAACTTTTAAATACTTTTAAAACTTTCCATGTTTTTAAAAAAACAGGGCTGGGTACAATGGCTCACGCTTATAATCCCAACACTTTAGGAGGCTGAGGCGGGCGGATCACTTGAGTCCAGGAGTTCAAGATCAGCCTGGGCAACACGGTGAAACCCTGTCTCTACGAAGAATACAAAAATTAACCGGGGGGTGGTGGTGCACACCTGTGGTCCCAGCTCCTCAGGAGGCTGAGATGGGAGGATCCCTGGAGGCCTGGAGGCCAAGGCTGCAGTGAGCCAAAAATGCACCACTGTACTCCAGCCTCGGCAACAGAGCAAGACCCTGTCGCAAAAAAAAAAAAAAAAGTTAAAAATTAGAAATTGAGGCCGGGCACAGTGGCTCACGCCTGTAATCCCAGCACTTTGGGAGGCTGAGGCAGGCGGATCACGAGGTCAGGAGATCGAGACCATCCTGGCTAACATGGTGAAACCCCGTCTCTACTAAAAATACAAAAAATTGGTCAGGCGTGGTGGCATGCACCTGTAGTCCCAGCTACTCGGGAAGTTGAGGTAGGAAAATCGTTTGATCCCAGGAGGCAGAAGTTGCAGTGAGCCAAGATCATGCCACTGCACTCCAGCCTGGGTGACAGAATGAGACTCTATCTCAAAAAGAAAAAAATAAGAATAAATTTTAAAAAATTTTTAAACAGAAAAATTCCTTACTTTGGTCATTCTCATGTCTCATTATTTGGCATCTTCCATTGTCGAAGCAAACAGCAAGGCAAGGGCAATCAGGCTCCACATAGCCTTCTGTGCCATGGTACCAATGAATCCCAGCAATGCTGATAGCTCCAGTGACATTCACCAAACAACTCAGTTTCATTTTCATCTAAATAAAATTGTCTAGATTTAATATTTTACGTTTTAAAACAGAGCAGTATAGATACAATCTCAATAAAGTATTGTAGAAAGAACACTGAAAATACAATCTAAAAATCAGGTGGCAAATTAAAGCTTAATCACTTACTGGTATACAGGCCATGGACAAATCACCTAAATGTCCATTTTCCCCACATGTAAAAAATGAGGATTAAAAAACACTGAGTTTTTATGAGACTCAAATAACAAGTATATGAAAGTACTTTGAAAGCAGCAAAATGTCATAGAAAAGTTCATTATTTTACTTCCACCAGTGAGTGGATTTACTTAGTGTCCTAAACCTTGCTAAAAAAAAAAAACTGCCCCATCAGTAATCATAGATTATAGCTAAACCTTGCAAAGCCAGAATTTTTCTCCAGATTATGCTGCCTGATCCTATTCTATTTTACCTTCTTTCCAGGGATTGATTTTTCTCACTTACCAGTTAAGTCTGTCATTCTTTTTACAAACAACCATTGGTAGCTTGCTACAAAAATACCCTTTGGTATCTACATGTAAACTTTGGCTTCAGATACCAGAAGACACTTAAAAAACTTAAACTGCACATCGCCCTACTCATTATCCCTCTGCTTAAATGCACTGACATCTTGTCCTTTCTACCTACCAAAAAAAATTGGAACTAAAAGTTACACTCTAACTTGTGGCACTAATTTGCTTTGAGAAAACCAAAATTTTATTTAATTTAAAAAAAATTTAGATGATTGGGAAAAAGAAAAAAAATCTGAATTGACTTTAATTACATGAACCACCATAACAAATAAATGTATATACAAAGATGAATGATATGTACGATCATGTAAAATTATATAAACAAGACTGATGATACACATACTTACTATAAAATTTCCTTGATTATCATAAATGTGTATTTCCCCATTTGCCATTCCAAAAAGTAAGACTTTACTGTCCGCAGACCATGTTACATGGGATAGCTGTATACCCTTCAGGTCTTTTCCCCAAATACGATTGCCTAAAACAAAACATTATTAAAAGTTGTTCAAGGCCATGATCCTCCAACAACTGCTTTCGAAATGTTTGTTTTCCTAAAGATCTTGTAAATTCTTCACAGCATTCATGCATTCATTCAATTTATTTGGCCAATAAATATTTACTGAGCACCTATATGTGCCAAATACCTGAAAAGACATTTGAAATAGTAGCTGTTTCAAACTTTCTCCCCTTTCTTCTAAACTCTGATGCTGGATCTCACTCCCAATTAGCAGTTGAGCCCATCTTCTACTTTGGAAAGAAAATAAAAGCACCCAAAAAACAAATTCCTCATTCCCATCTTCAACAATTCAGAACATAACTGAATCCATGCTTACACTTTCTGCTTTACCCACTAATACAAAAGAAGAGGTATTTCCCCAGTCAGTCCCCTGCCTAAGGCTAATTCCTCTATGTATTCTCTGATCTAATCCCTTCCTACCTTTGCAAAGATCTCCCTTTACTGACTACTCTCATTTTCTCTTTCCCATTAAACTCTTCACTCCAGGGCCTTTCTTATGTGGATTTAAACACATGCAGATCTATTTCTCTTTGAAACCACCACCTTAAATAAAGTAAAATAAAATAAAATAAACACTTTTATTAACCCCAAGTTCCCCCTGTAACTACTATCTATCTCTACCATTCCTTTCCCAATCAAACTTCATGAAAGAGTTCTTCACACCTATAGTCTCCACTTCAACTCCGAGTCAACCCTTAACTCCTCCCAATCTGGCTTCTGCCCCACAACTCCATCGAAACTGCCTACAACATACACTATTTGGGTTATGGTTATATACTAATAGTCCAGACCTCACCAATATTCAATATATCCATATAACAAACCTGTACTTGTACCCCCTAAATCTATAAAAATAATAAATAAAAAAAGAAGAAACCAAACCTGTTGACACCTTGATCTTGGACTTCCAGAGTCTAGGGCTCCGAGAAAATAAATTTCTGTTGTTTAAGAAAAAGAAAGAAACTGCCTTCATGGACGTCACTGATGGCCTATTGCTAAAGTCAATTGACACATTTTTTTTTCACCACTCCCTCCTTCTTGAACTCTCTTTGCTGCCATTAGCCCATATACTCCTTTATCTCCAAGACTCCTACTTTTTAACATCCTTCTTCTGCCCATCCCTGAAATGTTGCTGATTTTTTTTTCCCCCCACCGGGACAGGGTCTCACTCTGTTGCCCAGGCTAGAGTGTAGTGGTAAGATCATGGCTCACTGCAGCCTCAACCTCTCAGGCTCAAGCAATCCTCCTACTTTGGCCTCCCAGGTGATTGGGACTACAGGAGTGTGCCACCACACCCCGATAATTTACTTTTTTATTTTCAGCAGACACAAGGTCTTGCTATGTTGTCCAAGCTGGTCTCAAACTCCTGAGCTCAAACAATCCTCCTGCCTTGGCCTCCCAAAGGCAGGCATAAGCCACCATCCCCAGCCTAAATGTTGCTGATTCTTAACTCTACAAATGCCCTTTAGTTTTGTTCAACTATTTCAATGGTTTAAATTACCATGCATATGCTGGTGGTTCCCAAAATTTTGTGTTCAGCACAGATATTTTTGAGCTGCAGATATGTATGTCTAACTATGGTCTGGATAGATTTACTTGAATGGCCTATGGCATGACAAAATCAACATATCCAATAGAGAAATTTTCCCTTAAAATCATTCTTTCTCCACACTATTTTAATGAAAGGCATTCCATCCAACCAGCTGCCCAAGCTAAAACTCTGGATACTGCCCTGGGGACTTCCATGCTCTCATCCCCAATCTTAACTATTCTGCCTCCTGAGTATGTCTAAAATCTACTTACTTCCATTCCCTTGTCATTACCTGGATGGCTATTATCCACCATAATCTCTCACCTGAATTGCCAGAGTAGTTTCCTGATACAGCTGCCCATTATCTTTCTTTCCTTTCTCTATTCTTCATATGTAGTGCAGAGCTTTTTCTAAGGAACAAGCTTATCACATTGCTCCCATTCTTCAAACTTTTCATTGGCCTCCCAAGTGCTGTTGGACTTAAGTCCAAACACCTTAATATAAATTATGATCTGCATGATCTGGCCTCTGTTTCTCTCTCTAGATTTACTGCATAATACTCTTCACCTTTAGTATCATGCCCTACTGATAATCAACTTTTTTCAATGGCCCAAACATAGCTAAGTGCAACTCCTCTGGACCTCCTCAAATGCTATTTCTTAGGGCTGAGACATTCTACACACCAATCTACCTTGTGGCTAATGCCTCAGCATCAGCATCACTTCCTCCAGGAAGCCTTTCCTGATCCCTCCAAGTCTGCATTAGGTGGCCACTTCTACATGCTCCTGTATTTTCCCCATCTTAGCGCTTATCACAGGGTATTGTAATTTCTTGGTTACTTATCCATCTCTCCTAATCTAGGTCTGGTCATTGCTGTACTCTCAGTTCCTAAAATGATAGCTGTTGCTTTATAGGCTCTCAGAAACATTTGTTGAATACATGAAGTTACACATACATACACACACACACACACACACACACACACAGAGAGAGAGAGAGAGCGAGCGCATGCACGCGAGAGAGAAAATAAAAATGATTTTAAAATATATTATTCCTCTACAGAGTTTCAAATTAAAACAAAGGTGCAGACTCTCAGAAGACCCAGTTTTATCTATTACTAGAATTTGAAAAATGTGGGTTTTTAAGGCTATAAACTACAACCAACAATGACATGTTCAGTTCTAATAAAAATGACCACAGACTTTTTGAAACTAAGGTCTACGTATTTGTACAGACTAACCAATATAAAGAGAAATTACATAATAAGGCAGACATGTTTAAAATAATGCTGAAAAGTTAATTCACTTTTTTCAATGCCACTGTAGAAAATAAAAAAGACTTTTTTCCTTGAATATACATAAAAACAGATGGTTAAAACCAAAGAACAGTTCTTGAACGTCATCAAATTGTATATCAAATATTTTCTTTTTATGTCTATTTTTCAATCAGAATGCTAACATATGATAACTAACTTAACTCTCTAAAGAAGAAAATTGTCAGCCAGATATTGATCTTAGTTCTATGTCCAATCAATGCATTACCATCCACTGAACCAACTATCACAGCCCCATCTTCATATACAATGCAGATCTTCTGTCCGTCAGCATTCCAGCTCATACTGCGAACAACTGATTTATTTCGATTGTTGATCATCTCCTCATACCAAGAGCCTGTTTTCACAAATTTAAAAAATTATAAGTCAAAACTTTCACATCTATTAAATAGTACTTAAGAATTGAAAGCAATCTGTAAAGTACACCGTGGGATAAATAACTGCAAAGTTTTCTACAACCCGAGACATTAAACTATAAAACTTCCAAATCCAACAAAAACACAATGAAAAATTAACTTGGGCTTAACTGATAACTGCTTCAAAGATTATCACAGAAAACATAATAAATGCCCATCCTTTGTTTCCTCTTTCTTTCTTTCCCTGTCTCTTTCTTTCTGTCAATTAAAAAATAAACTTAATTTGCTTTTTCAGAGCCAAAACTACTGCTTCTTCTGAAAGCCTAACTTTTCCCACTTGAACAATATGGTTCAGATCATAACCAAGAAAAAAACTCCAAGTAACAATAACTTTGTATGTACACATAAACTCTCCAATGAATAATTACGAGCATATTAAATACAGCATATTAGTTACCATCACAAAGAGAATGAAGCCAAAAAACACCCAGCATATTAGGTAAAACCCTAAGTAAGCCTGCTTGAAAAAATTCCAATCAGTTTATATTACATTAGTGATACCACATCTCTAATGCTGAATGACAAAAATATTCTAGTTGTATGCAGGGTAGGAATGAGATGTAACTTGTCTTTTAGCATAACCAAATTACAGGCAAAAAAAATACGTTATTCGGTTTTTGTTTTTCTTAAAAGCTTTTTGACATACCAACATAGGAAACTCTGGCCTGCAGCCAAGAAAATAATCATGTAATTTGGAATAACTGGTCAGAGCAGGGTAACAGAATCCAGACTGAGACCCAGAGAAGACCTGAAGACCTACCTTGGAAACAAAGTTTACTCCAATCCACTGAACTTTCACATTCTATCCCCTACACACACACATACACACACTTTTTTAAAAATTAAAGTATTATAGTATATCTTTAATGAAGACTTTTTAAATGGTATGCCCTGCCATTTAAAACAGCACACATGAACTTTTCAAAACAGCACACATAAAGTTTCAAAACAGCACACATGAACTAAGGCACCCTTCCCTTTTGAAGATGATGGCTACAGGCCTCAGGAGAACATGTATGATGAGCTGTTTTTCTCGTAAAAGTGGTATATCTAAGTTAATCCTTCTTTTACCCTCCCTTTCTGTTGTAAACAAGAGGCACAAACCGTGAACCAGTAGTCAGAGTTGAGATAAAATCTGTATCCATAAAAGAAAAGGAAACTAACTGGCCCATGCAGGAAATGAATTATTCCCTTTGACTTCTTACTAAATGTGTTTTCATCTACTGAGATAACTCTAGCCACTCATTTATTCATTCATTCAACAAACATTTATTGAACATGTACACTGTGCTATGTATTATAAAAGGTTCTACATATAAAACGATGAACAAACAGTCATTTCCCCTTTCCCCTCAGAGCTTACAGTCTACTCAGGACCAATATTAAATACACACTTACATACACATAAATGTAATTATAAACTGGAACTACCTAGGAAGTAATTCTTATTGGAAATCTGGGGGGAAAAAAAGAGCTATCTCAAGTAGAAGCTATTCTTCTGCTAAGAGTCTAACTTCATTTTGGAGATAGCCAACAATCACCTAATTCACTTTCTTAATAACAGGGTTAAAGTAAAAAAAAAAAAAAAAAAAAAAAAGTGAAAAGTAGGTAGCAATAAATCCAGAAATATTACCACTGTGCAGTCAGGATGAACTCCTGTTGTTAGTAAAAGGGGTCTATTTTGGAGATGTTGTTTATCCATCCGAATACTGTAAGCTAGATGCCAACATGTGAAAAATTAAATAAGCTCTCCTAGTAATATATACCTTTATATAACATCCATACAATGATAAGCCCGTTTTCATCACTGGTAGTCAACTTCTGATACTGCTCATTCCATGTTACAACTTGAACAGAACCTAGAACATTATAAAACAATTTAGAAACTTAAAGGTTACAATTGATTTCAAATTTATATTTTTATATAAACACCAAGATCATGTTAAAATCAATATGGTTCCTGCACAGATAATTAGTCTTTAATATTCCTTAAAACCTATTCATAAGATGCAGTTATTGATATCACTAATTTTCTATAACAATGCATAATACTGTTTGTCATATCTATCCCTATTTCATCCCAGTGAAGACACCTAACATGGCGAGCTGCAAGAACTACCATATACCTGATGACAGAAACAAATACAAGCATGGTTTACCCAATTGGCCTGACTCCCAAAAATAATGATGTCCAAAGGACACAATATTAGGTACTTGTTTAGGAAATTTTTATCATTTTTGGTAGATATGTCCCATAATCTCTCTTCTGCCCACCCCTCACCCCTGTTTTCCATTCTATTGATAAAACACTCTTGAGCATATCTAAAACCTCCAGGGTACATGAATAATTGATGACTTTTAATTTTTTAATCCATAAATACTTTAGTGTACATGTCCTAAAAATAAAGACATTCTCTTCCATAACCATATTACAAATTAGGAAGTTTAACACTGATACACTATTATCTAACTCACAGTCCATATACAAAGTTTATCAATTGTCTAAATAATGTCCTTTATAGACACTTGTTTTTCTCATTCCAAGATCCAATCTAGGATTATACAATGCATTTATATGTTACACGTCTCAATCTTTAGTCTTTTTTTTTTCTTGAGACAAGATCTTGCCCTGTCACCAAGGCTGGAATGCAGTGGCACAATCGTGGCTCAATGCAGCCTCAAACTCCTGACCTCAAGGGATCCTCCCACCTCAGCCTCCTGAGTACCTGGGACTACAGGTGCACAGCGCCACACCTGGTTAGTTTTTTTTTATTTTTTGTAGAAACAGGGTCTCATTATGTTGCCCAGGGTGGTTCCAAAATCCTAGCCTCATGCAATCCTCCCACTTTGGCCTCCCAAAGTGCTTGAACTATAGGTGTGAGCCACTACGCCCAGTCTCTTCAGTCTCCTTTAATCCGGAATCATAGGACAGATTCTAAAAAGGATTATATATATAACATCCATAGACAGGAGTATTTTCAATATATAAAATAACAGCTACTTTCTTCTAGATTTATTTAAGATGTTGTTTAATCACGTAAAAGTTGAATGACTCTACATTGTATTACTTATGTCTCAACAGAAATGATTACAAACAGCTCCCAACTTACAATGGTACTACTTAAATGGCTTCTCAGTGGTGGGAATGCAATGCGCATTCAGTAGAAAACGTACTTCGATTGCCCATACAACTACTCTGTTTTTCACTTTCAATACAGAAATCAATAAATTACATAAGATATTCAACATTTTATTATAAAATAGGTTTTATGTCAGATGATTGTACCCAACTGTAGGCTAGTGTTTTCTGGGCACATTTAAGGTAAACTAGGCAGAGCTATGACGTTCAGTAGGTTAGGTGTATTAAATACATTTTCAACTTACAATGGGTTTATTGGAACATATCCCCATCATAACTCAAAGAGCATCTGTACTTTAAATATTACCATTATTTAAAATGTTGACATTTCTGCATTAAGTAGAAACTTCCTAAATGTCTAAATACCACTCAAACATGACTTAAAAGAAATTGCATGACTCACCACTATGACCTTCAAGAGTCTGATTCATAGAAAGGTTACTGGGGGCTGCAAGGCCCCTCAATTTTGCATCATCTAAAACAAAACAAAACAAACTACTATGATAAACATATAAAAGTGACATATTATAAGATTTTGACTCTTTTTGTATTCCTGGGCAGTATTAATCATTTCTCTAAGTATGCCTCATTCTGATCTATTTTTCTCATGGTATAAACATAAACAATAACACATACCCCTTGCAAAGACATTCTGGTAAAATAAAGCAAAATACATAAATGAACATTGTTTACTCATACATTACATATATTAATAATCATCACTGCTTTTTATGCCTTTCCAAAAGACCACAAATAGAAATATTTATGGCCTACAGATTGCAAACTCTACAGCTTACAAGGGATCAAAACAGCATAGACTTTGAAAATGGGTTTTTGCTAGATTACACAGAATCTTATATTCACTCATTTATTCGTTCATTCAACAAATATTTATTGAATGTGTACACTGTGCTATGCATTATAAAAGGTTCTACATATAAAATGATAAACAAAACAGTCATTTCCCCTTTCTCCTCAGAGCTTACAGTGTGAGGGACCAATATTAAATACATACTCACACACACATAAATGAAACTATAAACTGGGAATGTGAAAGCATAATAAGAAATAGTAGCAGAAGTGACTTAATTTAGATTGATGGGGAACCAGGGAAGGCTATCAGAAGAATTGGTATTTAAGCTGAGACTGAGAGGTAAACTGGAGACAGCCAGGAAAGGTAGAGAAAGAAGGGGAGTATTCCAGGCTAGGACACAGCAATGTAAAGGCTCTGAGGTAGACGCCTAGAGCCCTTGACAAAATCTAAGAAGGCCTATGTGGATGAACAGGGGAGAAAATTGCATCAAACAGGGCTGGAGTGATAGGCACAAGAAAAATTATGAAGTATTTGTAGAAAATAAGAATTTTAGATTTTATCCAAAGTGCAATGAAAACCTCTAAAGATATCTTAAAAATGTACTAACCATACTACAGAGAATAATATTAAAATGTCATCTCAATAAATTAATCTTGGCTTAGAAATCTGTTATACATAAAACATAGCATTTAAAATTTTCATTTAAATTACAAATTTTATGAAAATCTTAAGAATTTGTGAGGATGGGAATTATACCAATGCTAAAGAAAATTCTACTTTCAGATAACGAGTATCTTAAAATATTATGAAAAATATCCTTTATTCTGAAAACACTGTCAGGAAACAATACCTAATTTCCTCTAAAATCACTAGTTCCAATTACCCAGTTGTTTTGGTAACACAAAGAGTATACATGTACAGTTTAACAATGCAATCATCTGTCAAGATAGAATAAATGTTGCTGACACACACATTAGGTTGAACATAAATTTTTTAACATAGGGTTCTTTCACTCATTTAATCTTTTAAAAATTGTACAACATACTTAAACATCATTATAATATTCTAAAATATTTGGTGGAAACATTTTTCTTAACTTCTAGAACTGAAAAATCCATTCTGATGCATATATATATAATATATATACACACATATTCTGATGTCACTATAACCTAACTAAGTGAAATGGGTGATATGTGATTTAGATTAACCATCCATGTTTTCCCTCTGTTAGACCATAAGGTAGCATATTCTTGGCAAAATACATGCTGACAGTTAAGAAGAGGCTTTGAAATTCAGCTTGATATATTGGACAAATATCATCCACATCTGAAAAGGTCTCTTGCTGGAAGCAACTCCATAACTTGATCATGTAAAAAATATTCATAAAACCCACCCGAAAGTTCTCAGATGTCCATAAAAAGGCCAAAAGTTTTAAATGATGTAGAGTAAAGCCAGGATTAATATCCCAAGATTCCATCCAGTTACATTACTAGACTCCAGATAGCCAATAAGGTAATGAAACCAAACTGGTATGTGAACAAAAATCTGGTAATACTAACATTAATCTTCTAAAAGCACATAACAGTAATCCTTAGATTTAAAAGGCATGATCAAAGAAGTCACCAATAAAATAAAGCATTTTAAACTCATGTAAAGAAATTTCAGAATGAAATCAGTTATTCCAACAATTCAAAGTACATCAAAAAGTCCAAAGAAGGCTTTTAAAAAATTAAGGTATAATAACGCAACTGAAAATAAAAGGTATGATACAGAAGAACAGAAGATCATGCTAATAACACCAATAACCAAACACACTAAATCTTTGAAAGTCTTTCTCTTAGAAAAGCGTGACTGACAATGCTTTTGTTTGCATTCATAAAAGTTGTCAGCAGCCCAATTTCAACAGAAATTCCTGTTATGTGCTGCAAAATAAGCTTGAAACCTATAATCAAAATATACAGAAGATTGTTTTGCAACACATAGGGATAATACAATTCTGAGAAAGAGATGGTACCACATTCGCCAGACTTTCTGGCAGGATCACCTGGTTGCCTTGCTTCTCTGTGTGAATGACTGACTGCAAAGGACTCTGTATGCACCCCTGGGTCTAACTAAGGACACCTTACCTGAGATTTCTGGTAAATTTTGTTGTCCTGGGCATATTGGAAAGCTGAGGCAATGTCAATGCCTGCAGGTACTGGAGGACTGCACAGTCAGCTACAGTTGGCTTGCATGGCCCTATATACTTTTTCTGTGATGGAAATGTTGGCTTCCAGGGCTATTTCCTCTCATGAGGATGAGAGGATGAGGCCTTGGCAGTCATAGCAGGAAAAGCAAGAAATGCCACCTCAATCCTAGTCAGGGTCATCACCCTCAAACCTTACCACAAGCAGCTCCCACCCAGGACCATCACCCTCAAACCCTACCACAAGCACAAGCAGCTCCCACCCAGGGCCATCACCCTCAAACCCTACCACAAGCAGTTCCCACCCAGGACCATTACCCTCAAACCCTACCACAAGCAGCTCCAACCCAGACTGTCAGCCCTTAAAATTCCTTTTGGCAAGGAAATGACACAATCTGGTCCCTTTAAAAGAAGAAAAAATAAGGACCGGGAGTGGTGGCTCACGCCTGTAATCTCAGCACTTTGGGAGGCCGAGGTGGGCTGATCACTTGAGGTCAGGAGATCAAGACCATCCTGGCTAACACGGTGAAACTCTGTCTCTACTAAAACAAAAAAAGAAAAAAAAATTAGCTGGGCATGGTGGCACGCGCCTGTAATCCCAGCTACTCAGGAGGCTGAGACAGGAGAATCACTTGAACCCGGGAGGTGGAAGTTGCAATGAGCCGAGATCGCACCACTACACTCCAGCCTGGGCAACAGAGGGAGATCCCATCTCAAAAAACAAAACAAAAAACCAAAAAACCTGACACTGGCTAGAGTGTCAAGAACAACTAAGAGGAAGCCAGAGACAATGGAAGGAGGGAAACTGACTCTCACAATAGACCAGGTGAGGGATGATGGTAGCTGGAGCTATAGAGGGAGCAGGGGAGACAAAGGAAAGGATGGGTTCAAGATACACTTTGGAGACAAAAGCAACAGGATTGCTGATGCAGATGTTGTTAACGGAAGAAAAGAGAAGATTTCCAGCTTGAGCAAATGAGTGAAACTGAGACATTTGCTGAAATGGAGACAATTGAATGAGATTTGGAAGAATATCAAGAGCTCAGTTTTGAACACAGTAAGTATGAGATACCTGTGGAAAACTCCAGTGGAGACACCCACATCTGAAAAATCAGGACTGGGCTGGAGATATAAATGTGGGGCTCTTCACCTCATACCACAGATGGCATTTAAGGGCATGAGAATGAAAGAATAAATAGAGCAAGTGAATAGAGAGCCCACAAGCAAGTTCTCAGGAATTCTAATAGAAGAGGGAAATCTAGCAAAGAGACTGAGGACTGACCAGAGAAGGAGAGAAAAGTAGTATGCCTAAATATAACAATAACTTAAACATTCTGAATTCTCTTGTCTTGAAAAATAATGTTTCAAGTCAAATCCTGATGAGTCAATAAAAGCTGTCCATTAGATTTAGAACATGAAAGTCACTGGTGAGGGAGAGAAAAGGAGAGAGCACTGATACTGAAAGGAGAGAGAGAGGATAAATTGGAAGAGAGGTACCTGAGAAGGTGAAGGGAGATGGGCTCCAGCAAAACACCGGAAGCTGGCCTGTGAGAGAAATAAACCTGATATAAAAAGATGGATTGCTGGTTCTAATTCCTTTCCTTCTAGAGCAGGGGACTGAAAACTGGAAATGCAACTTGGTGCAAACTTTCTGGAGGGTAATTTGCGTACACATATTAGGAAACTGTATAAATGTACATATTAGGAACCTGTATAAATGTACACACTCTTTGATCTAGTGAATGCCATTTCTAGAGATTTATCCTAAAAAGTATTAACAATTTATGCAAAGATTTGGATACAAAGATATAGTTGCTTTAATAGTAAAAATGTGGAGGCATCTAAATGTCCAATACTAGAATTGGTTAAGCAAATTATGATATATTAATATCAATATAATGAAATACTAAATAGACATTAAAAATGGTGTCATATAAGATGATTTATTGATGTAGAGGATTCCTGTATTATATTGCTGTACCCAAGATACAAAACATTATACTTAAAATGTTGCATCTTTAGCACAACACAGTGCTTGATATAAAGCAGGCATGCAAGATCTAGGATAGTTACTGGAGGGATCTGCTGAATCAACATTATTTGCATTAAATACAATATACTGATCTTGTTAGAATCTCGCAGCCATATTCCTCACATTTATTTCTTTCAGTACAATTCATAATCATTAAGTTCGAAAACAAATACTTTACTCCGTTTTCCAAACCTCCGAAGAATCGATTTCCCATCTTGCTCACTAATTTCAAAGAATACTCTAGCCACAGCTTATCAAAAGGTTAGAGAAGAAAAAGAAGTTTGTTTTTAAAAAAAGCCTTCAGGCCGGGCGCGGTGGCTCAAGCCTGTAATCCCAGCACTTTGGGAGGCCGAGACGGGCGGATCACGAGGTCGGGAGATCGAGACCATCCTGGCTGACACGGTGAAACCCCGTCTCTACTAAAAAAATACAAAAAACTAGCCGGGCGAGGTGGCGGGCGCCTGTAGTCCCAGCTACTCGGGAGGCTGAGGCAGGAGAATGGCGTGAACCCGGGAGGCGGAGCTTGTAGTGAGCTGAGATCCGGCCACTGCACTCCAGCCTGGGCGACAGAGCGAGACTCCGTAAAAAAAAAAAAAAAAAAAAAAAAAGCCTTCAATGTTAAACAAAATGAATGCATTTCTTAATGTAAGTTAAAACTTGCGGGCCAGGCACAATGGCTCAAGCCTGTAATCCCAACACTTTGGGAAGCCGAGGCGGGCGGATCACGAGGTCAGGAGATTGAGACCATCCTGGCTAACACGGTGAAACCCCGTCTCTACTAAAAATACAAAAAATTAGCCAAGCCTTCTGGCGGACGCCTGTAGTCCCAGCTACTTGGGAGGCTGAGGCAGGAGAATGGCGTGAACCCGGGAGGCGGAGCTTGCAGTGAGCAGAGATCGCACCACTGCACTCCAGCCTGGGCGACAGAGTGAGACTCTGTCGCAAAACAAAAACAAAAACTTGCTACGTATTGTAAGCAAAAGTATGTATATATACAGACACATATATATACACACACACATACACATACATATAGATACATTTAAGAAATATATATATTTTTATATATAAGAATTTATATATAAACTATATATTTTTAAACTTTATATATAATATATAAACTTTATATATATTTTAAACTTTATACATAAACTTTATATATATTTCAAACTTTATATATATATATAAAGTTTTTCAGAGAAAAACTTTCTTTTAACACAGTTTTAAAAAACTAAAGTACTGACAGATTGAACTATAAAACAGCATAAGCCAAACTTTAATTGGTACTCTTCTTAGGCTGTCCACTAGCACTCTGTGTAGTGGTTAAAAACAAGGACTTGAATGTGAGACAAACTTAGTTTCACATCCTTGCTCTGCCACTTACTGGCTGCATGACCTAGGGCAATTATTAACTGCTCAGAGCCTCAATTTTTTCACCTAGAATACCTACTGCCCAAGATTATTGTGAAGTCAAATAAGATTGTGAAGGTTAAATATCTGGTATATGGAAAATCGTCAATGAGTATTTAAATTATTCATACCACATTCAAAGCTGTAAGGTAATGCTATTCAAAGTGGGGTCTGAGGACGAGCAACTTAGCTTCACTAGAAATGGAAATTCTCAGGCCCCATCCTGGGTCCACTGTGTGGGGGTAGAGCATGAAATTCATCTTAATAACCTCTTCCAGTGATTCTTATACCTAGTACAGTTTGAGAAGCTATGTTGTAAGGAATCCAAAAATGTAATGCAGTTTAATCCCCTACATTTTCATTTCATGGAAGAGTAAACTAAAGTAGTAAGATCCTTAGCCACTTGTTGAAAGTCATTCAGTAGTCTTGTAGCAGAGCAGAGATTTAACCCTAATTGCCTTATCTAGATCTTCAATCTAGTGCAGCACTGGGGGGCTAAAGAAGTAGGAAGCTGTTTGCTGTGATTCCAGACAACTAGATAAAGAAAGAAATCAAACTGCAAAAACAAGGGATCCACTAATAGAAATGTAAAACATATCCCATTTTCTGCTCTTGGACACTAGGTCAATAATTATTAATGTATCTAATAAACAGAAAGGATAGGCCTGTAAATAATCCGCCAGATTTTCTTACTGAAATGTTGACTCACAGGATTTGTATTAGACTCCTAATAATATAGTACAATAATTAGACATAGCATAACACAGTGACTTATTTTCATTCGTCCTTATTTTTCATTCTCCATTAATAACTCAGCAGAAACCATCTGATGTTTACATTCAACATTCTCTGAACTTTATTGCAAACATACTCCAGAAAAAACATCATAAAATGTTGGTTTTCCCTTTAAAATAATCAGAATTGCATACTGACAGATACCATGAGTAAATCGCATGAACAAATAACATTAGCCAATTTTCTACCAATTTCAAACATGTGGGCTTGCATTCATTTACCTGTCTGCGTCTCTAATTTCAAAACTTTCAGTAATCCATCTTCACCACCACATGCTATGAACCCTTGTTCCTTGTTCCAGGATACACACTTCAGCTTCACGTTATTGGGAATGGAAATCTGTAAAAGCAACCATAGCCGCACTAGCAACTTTTCACGAAGGAGGTGGGAAATAAGTCTGCAGGAGATGACGGCTGAAGAAAATCTTCCAAGAAGAAAAACGGGCGGTCTTGCAGAAAAAAACGAGCTGTTGTGAAATGGGCATGGTCCCTTGAACTGACTCGGGCTCTAGCATTTGGGAAAGAGGGAAAGAAGTGCACAAAAGAGAAGGATAGTGACTGCGGAGGAAGCCAACGCCAGAGTCACCGGATGGATTTTTTAAAGGAAGGGCGGGGAGCGGGTATAAATCCATACCACCAGTCCCTCTTCCTTTTTACCCACAACACTTAGGCTACCCTATTGTTATTTCTCTTCTCTTGCCCAATGGTTTGTGGTGATCCAAAGAATTTAAATCACGTGGATCAGCAACAAGTGGAGGAAGAAAGATAGAGTAGCACAGGGCGACTTATCCTCCAGCCACCCAAAAGGACCTAGCCAGGGGCAGGAATGGGAGATAGCTACGAGAGGGCAGCGGGCTCGGCCAAGGTCTGTCTGGGGCTCTGGGAACCGCAGGAGGAGGTCGGAGGCTGGACCCGGCGGGAAGGATGGCCGCGGAATGGCGAAGCCACGATCAGGACCGGGTGAAGCAGCCTGGCTCCTCTGGAAGGCAGCGGGAATCGCCGCAGGCTGCGGGAATGGTGGGGAAACGAGGACGCCCCGCAGGAAACTCACTTTCTTGGTCAGGTAGAAGAACATCGTGGGATTCCCTAGAGGGTCACGACGGCTGCTAAGGCCCTCGACAGGTAACGGTTCTACGTTTCCAATCCGGAGTACCAGCAGCTGCGAGAAGCTCCCGTCGCCCTGGCAACCGCGACGTTGCCCGGTCGCATCCGGGGCTCCACGGGGCACTTCCGGTGACGCCCTCGCACCGGGCACCGGCGTAGTGCGCCTGCGCGGACGTCGGAGGGTTGGGGGCGCCGGGTGCGAGGCGGTAGCTGGGTAGTCCTGTTTCCTGGCGTCTCGGCCTTTCTGCTCTCCGCAAGGAGCTGGGTCGCCACCTGTCCCTGCCAGCCGTGCACTCGCTCTCTGCGCCCTGTCTCGTGATCACTGCCGCCCTCCCTCCCGCCACACCTCTGTTGATCGCGATGGAGCCGCTCCTCAGGTGGCAGTACTATAAACCTAGGAGGAAAGGCGCCCGTTCGAATGAGGGCAAATTATTTAGTATTTTGTAAGTTCCAAAGTTCCAACATTCTTGAAAGGGAAAAACCTTTTACTGTATTTGATAGGCTGGCGCCCCGGGCCAGATGAAAGTGCAAATGTGCGTACTGAGATCTCGTAACCCTTCTCTGTGTCTTTGGGGATTGGACAACCTTTAGAGCAATTTAGGAATAGAAGATTTTGTTTATTCCGCTTGTTTTGACATTTTTTTAACAGTTTAATTAAGTTAATACCGCAACCCCGAGGGTCCTTTTCAAGGAATTTGTATAAACGTTGGGTAATTAATAGCGTACAATTGCTACTGGGGCATAGCCTCCCGTTTTACAATATTTGAGCGTTTGATGCTTTCTCGTCTGGAGTCGACTGTTACATATTCTCCTCTTTTTCTTACCTTATTTCTTTCTTCATTCTCCTTTGTCCTTTTTGAATGCCTGAGAGTTACAAAGCCTCAAAATATAAGGCATAGGGCAGAAATCCAAGTAGAACCAATATCATGAAATTATTTGGTCTCACCCATGTTTTTATTTCTGGCTTTCCCCTTTACCATACTCTAGCATGTAATTTATGCATCAGTAGTTAATTTCTCCACTTGGAGTCTTTTACCATCTCAGACAAAAATAAAACATAAAAATCCTCCAATCCTTTGACCTCGGTGATTTGTCTCACCCAGCACAATCTATTACACAATTGACAATAGTCTCTAGTGCCTTTCCTAACAAATCTAAACTCCATCCAAAATCAGATCTTCCCTCAATCCTAAATGTTTTACACTAGGGAGCCCCCACCTTAAGTAAGGCAGTATGCTTTCTGCGGGGCAACCTTCCATCCGGCTCTGCTTCCCAAGCCACTTTATGTATTCCGTGATGGTCCTACCCTCTTAACAGGCCAGTTGTGCCTAGCCAAACCAACACAAATCAGTCTCCCTGAGGAATTATTTCCAAACTTAACCCAATCCCATTCAGATAATACGTTTGTTTTCTATTGTTTGTGTGTCTGTTTAAGATACGTTGGCCCCTGCCCATAGGCTCCCTATACTGGACACATGAGACAAATAAGTATTATCTAACCCAGGAGTTTCCAATAAACTGGCCAAGACATGATTAGTTGAAGCTAGTTACTAATGGTGACACTTGAAAACTCACCTCTCTTTAAATATTTTTCCCTTCTTGCACATGAACTCTCATTTATTCCTTCTATACCACCATTCCTCTGTGGTATATTAATACGTATTACTGATGTGGGGCTCAAACAAGTCTGGAAAATACTACTGTAGCTCTGTGTCATACCTTTTCAAATTTTTTGAAAAGTAACAGATGTTTTATATATTTCCTTGGTATATTTAGTTTTTGTTCCTTCCTTAAAGTTTATATTTTATATTTACATGTGTAGGTTATATTTGCTTTTCAGGAGCTTATATTAATGTAAAGGTCATCATTATTTTATCCAAATTTAGGTTATTTTATATTGAAGCCTTTCTTTTGAACCTGAACTTACACTTTTAGCCTCAAGAGTGTGAGGTTAAACTATAGGAGGAGTATCAAACTTCTGTCTTTTGATAAGAAACTGTTGAATGTCAAAATAATTGTTAATTCAGTATAATTTAAAGAAATATGTTTAATAGATAAAATTGATGAGTCATCAAAAACCAGACATGATAATATGTAAAGGTAGTAACTTTTATTAAAGACAGTACAAACCAAAAAAAGAATTGAGCAGTGCAAAATTTAAAGGACTGTTTTGTTCTAAAAGTTGCAAGTTTCAAAGCCAAAAGAATTATATGTATCTAATATATAAGTAAAAATGTTAGACTTTCACGCCTGTAATCCCAGCACTTTGGGAGGCTGAGGCAGGCAGATCACTAACATTAAAAAGACAACATTAGATTTTGTCGATTTATAGCAATTTTATAAATATATAACTTTATCACTTGGATCCTGAAGCAAAATAATAAAGTCAATTTAGGATTTCTTGTACTTGGTATAAAGTTTAACACCCTAAATTCACAACTAGTGCTCTTTAGTAGTACATTTCTTTCAAAGACCAGAATGAATTAAAAATGGCAATGTAATGTTCACTTGATCTGTGTTAACTATTTTTAGATATGTGTATTATAAGCTATTATTGATCACATCTTCAATAATACTGCAACAAAATAAGCAAAAAACAAAAAGTGTTACATAGTTCAAAATTACATTGATCTCAGTTATATGAAGTTGTACGTGTAAATACCTTGTACAATTTGCACTCTCAGTAATAAGATTGATTTATATTATAAATACTATCAAAAGAAACTAGACCTAAAGTTTCCATCGTGAATATGGTTGTCTTATATAAACATTTAAAAATTAAATGGCTCAATTAGTAGATAAGGAAACGTTAAACTTTTCATTCTATTTCCTACCAATCATTTCACAGTCATAACTTAGAGACACTAAAGTTTGCTCTTAATAAGGATCTGCATATTTATTTCCTTGGAAAAATCATTCTGATTCTCCAGAAGATCTTCATACAATTTATCAGGTAATATTCAAGCATTAATACAGGTAATGGCAAATTATTAGCAAGAACATTGGCAATAACAGATGTGCAAAAGAATGCATGAGTATTAAGTATACCAAGCTATCCCCATTTCCAGGTGAGAAATTGGAGCAATTTAACGATGTATTTGTCCATATTCATTTACTTGCAACTTCTCCAAAATGCCATCAAGTGGCAAGTTGTTAAGGCCAACACCATTTAGTTTTACACATTAGAAAATATAAACACACTTTCAAACACTTCAACACAAGATAAAACGATAATGTCCTATGATAAGTGGAAAAAAAGAGCAAAACTGCTTTCTCACCAAAAGTTGAATTCAGTCTAAAAGTCAAACATCCTGTTCTTGGCAGAGAGCGCAATAAAAGTATTCAGATGTTTTTGTTCATAGAAAATGTAATTGGAGCAGCATCTTAGTGTGAGGGATGGGGGAAACAATGTTTATGATGTCTTGATTAAAGGGATAGTTGGGTTGTCCCTTTGGCTCTCTCAAGATTCTGCTCTTCTAAGAAATGCACCTTAGTAGATCTAGGGTAAATGAGAAGTATGCCTTTCTTGTGAAAAGTTAGGAGAATGGTGATACGAAATGAAAGATGGGAAAAGAAGATGCCAACTGATTCCAAGTAGTGTCCTAAGCAAGTGAAGGATTTGGAAATTGATTCTTTCCAATTATCTGTACCTCCCTTAAAAGTCTCTGCATATGCCTAGATGGTACCTACCACAATCTGAATTCCACTCCTCTAGGGTACATAGGAACAGAGTTGTTAACTTGAACTGTTCTGAGAAACTTTTCCCGAGTTACTCCTTTGGAGAAAGAATTGATTTTGAAAGTTTCTGAGATTGTATCGTGTTACATTTTAAAGTCTGCTTTTTGACTACTTGGCTAGTTAAAGTGTACAACTGTGTAATCTGAGATATCCCCCATTAATCAGCTGACTTGCCTTGTACATTTACAGATTCTGAACTAAGAAAGCCATATTAAAGGATCATTAGCATAAATGTTCCATCTGTTATGTAAGAGCATATACAGTTATGGAAAAGCACTAGGGAACAAAATAGGCAGCTTTTACATGTAAATATTGAATGGGTGAAACAGTCTATTAAATCATTAGAAAAGAACTCTAATTTTTTTTAAGTTGTATATTACTACTGCTCATACTAAAACCTAACAAATAAGTCACTTGCCTGTGGAATGTCTTAAAGTGTTTGGCTCAATTGTAGTACCTAGGCTGGCTCCAGGCAGAAGCAGAAAACCATCCAGAAAGGATATGTTTAGTGTTCAGTCTTTGAAGAGACGAGCTGACCTTCTCCTGGAATGCCAGTGTAGCTTCACATCCACAAACATCTTCAGTAGAAACGAGTCTTCGTGCTTCCTCAATGGCTGAAGACAACGACAGTACACAAATATACTATCTAGGAATAGCTATATAGGAATCATAACAAATCAGGAAATCCACAACTGAATATTTCCACCATTAAGACTTACCTAAGTGCATTTTCCAAGAGTTAAAGGGATATGTGAACAAACAAAAAGATGAGAAAATAGTTATCACAGAAAAATTCATCTTAGGAGACATTGGGAAAAATGTTTATAATTGTCAAAGCTGAGTGATTCTTAAATAAGGGTTCATTATTTTATTCTCTGTACTTTTGTGACTGCCAGAAATTATTCATGATAAAAAGTAAATTTAGAAAAACATGGTATAGAGGGAGGCCAGGGATATAGAGAGAAGACAGTGTTCATGTGATACTGTGTAATTAAGAAAGGAAAATGGGCCTGCTGCAGTGCCTTATTCCTATAATGCCAGCACTTTTGGAGGCTGAGGCAGAAGGATCACTTGAGGCAAGGAGTTCAAGACCACCCTGGGCAACAAAGCAAGGCCCTGTCTCTACAAAAAAGTAAAATAGCCAGGCATAGTGGCACAAAACTGTAATCCCAGCTACTCAAGAGGCTGAGGCAGAGGATCACTTGAGCCCAGGAGTTCAAGGCTGCAGTGAGCCATGATCACACCACTGCACTCCAGTCTGGGTCACAGAGTAAGACCCTATCTCTTAAAAATAAATAAATAAAAATAAAACTAGGACAATAGTACTCTATTTGTATGGCCAAAAGGTATCAAAGGTGAAAACTAGGGCCAGGC